AGACAATACTAATAAATAGGAAAATGCTCTCATCTCCACTCGAAATGTGTAATTGTTTATTATCGTACATACCAGGACTCAGCCTACTTGCTCATAGGATTAGTTAATTCAAGTTCATAAATTCAGCAATACTACAGAATAAAGGACGAAAATCCTTTGGTTGTCACTCATTCGCAGTCATGCCCCCAATCATGGAAGATGAGACAGCTCAGGCCCGTTGTTGTCATCCCTTCTAGCAGAAATTATTTCCTTTCTAGCAAAAATGTCTGCATATTTCAATAGCACATAAATTGTCAGAGGTGTTCTGCGATAAAAATTAAGCTTCCGTTACGGGGTGCATCATACTTAGCAATATGAGTGCATGGAAGGCTATTACAACTTCATTAGGCGTTTTAGGCTTCAAGTTTGTCCCAATTTGTTTAGACCAACGAACACAACGTTCCACTTTTAATAACGATTGGAATTAAATATTACAAAATTAAGGTTTCTGTGAACATCAGTTTTGAAATGCCAATGCATTGAGATAAGGAGGGTCAGTCTAATCAATTCAGCTATTACATAACATGCAATAATTTTCATCCGATACAAAACGGCGTGGCTCGAAGTATTTACATATGTGGCTGAATGCATAACATAAAGCGACTCCTAACTGTGATTGGCATTGACACTGGGAAGAAATGGCACACGACGTATTAATTTCCTCACATGTTCATGTTTCAATGCTAATTGAAGGAAGATGAGCAGAATGTTTGGTTTTCGTAGAGGTTGGACGAGGTAAATGGTCGGTGATGCGACCCATCCTCAATTCTTTGTAGTGATTGCGCACTTCTGTCCACGTCCAGTTCCTGTTCATGAGTGGTCTGTCATTGAACATGACTGCAAATTATGGAAACACGACTGACTGACCTGTGAATTGATTAACTAACTTAACTAACTAAAATGCAGACATAATCTCAGGAGTCTAAGTTTACTTGCTGCAGTCTGTACTGATTATTTATTCCCTTCATTTGTAGCTTTTATGTTAATTAAGGCGTAGATCATAATTTAGCAACTGGTTATAAGTAATTATTGAAGCAGAGGACTCCTGACAAATAAGCACCTTGTTTATTTCATTTATACTCATTCCTGATGTGATGAATTTCTACATCTTCTAGGGAATTTTCATTATCTACTTTAAGTACAGGAACAACTCACAATGCAGTAAATAGTATACCAATTAAACAGGTTATTTAAGCATGATATTTTCTTAGCAAGTGCGTAAGCCTTATTCTGTCCGGAGAAGTCCTTTGAGTTTAAATTATGACACACATGAAGAAGAAGAACACTGGTACAATTTGGTCTTGAGTTTCTTACTCTTTGGCCAAGACTGACATCATGAACTGAACAGTATCAAGATTGTTGGCTGAAATTGAAAAAAATTTGCTTCGAGGAGCAAAGGGTGAGGCGATCAGAATACTTGCGTAATTTTCTAGTCCTAGCTACACATATATTTAAATCCGAATCGAGACCAAATTCGGGGTGGTAAAAATTTTTAAATTGAAATGTCGTGCAATGCGATCAACTTAGGATTAGCACACATACGTACATATTTTAGTAACCTACATGGAACTTCGTGCACTATATGGCCCACGCCCATCAAGTTAGCACAGGATACTCACATATGTCAAAATACGTACGTATGTGCAATTGTTACGGATTACAATTCTGAGTATGATCAACTTTTATGCATGAAAATTAGTAGAAGGTGAACATATACATAGGTAAACAAAACGGATCTACAATATTACTATATCTTTAATTAGAATAATTACAAATATCACAGGAAACATATGTATAGCCCAACTGCAATGGATTCGCAATTTACGAAATTGCGTCAAAATTACGCCAAAATCGCCACTTGAAATTATTCAAATCAGTCCTCAGCTAAACCTTAGGCAGGCGAAGTTGGTTATGATTTTTATAGATTTCCAAATTCGGACATGTCAGTCTCATTATTCACATCATAGTATTAGATGATATGATACACAAACAACAATTCGAGAGGAAAATGATGTAAAACATATTTGGTGCATTGAAAGAACTCGGGTTCCGGTTCAGAAAACTCAACCGACCGACCCAGAGAAACTACGGTATAATATTTCGCAATTCCTCAGTCGTCGTATTTTTGAATTTTTTCATGAACGTGTGCTGAGATAAACCGTACGAAATATTTATTTACGACTTCATTTTGAAGGAATCATGATATAGATGAACTAAAAAGAGAGATACCGTAATCCCCTCCTCTCCCTCATATATGTACACAAGTAAGTGCTCCTTTGGTTGGACCCACATCTCAATCCTCCGCATCTGCTTCCTCTATTTCCTCTCTTTGATTGAATTGTTCAACAGAACACAATTTTCGTTATCCCGCATTCTACTCCCTTGTTACGTTTACAGCTTAATTTAATTGTGCACAATGCATAATATGCCAGGAAAGAATTGGATCTTGTCTCTCTGTGCGTTGAAATACCTCTGCATGCAGACTAGAAAAGTATGTAAATACCTCCTGATGAACATTGTTATCAATGGAAAGAAATCCGAACTCGGTACATTTTGACACAATTCGTTTCACAATGAAAGATGCACACACACGTGTAAAAAATAACTCATCTCACATTCGCCATGCAGCAACTTGCGAATTCATTTTTGGACCTGATTTTTCTGCACACGCTTTGAAATAATGTAAACGACTAGAAAATGTTAAGCTTCCTCCGATGAGTGTTAGTAGTGTCAAGTGGAAACCAACGCAGTCATATTTATATAGTTTCTTTAATTTAAGTCTTTCAATGTTTTTTTCTTTAAAACTGTAACTGGCTAACGGAAATTCTTTCTTGGTCGAGTAAACGTAAAGAGCTTGCGAGACGCTTGGGGTGGTTAGAAAGAAACAAAAAATTAACTGCGGATAAAATATTATTTCAGTCGTTACGCAATTTCAAAAGTTTATGTCGCGGTATTCTTTTGTTTCAAGTATGGGATATAGATTTGTAATTGGTGTTACCCTCATGCGTTTAAAGAGCTGCATTATTTTACTTTGTCAATAAGGCGGTCTTGGAAAGATTTAAAAACTTGAATGAAAACGGGAATTTTCGTAAAAAATGTATGTACCTGGTTCGTTTTCTTAAACTCTTTAAAGTTACTTAATCGGTTAAAGAGATGCGACTTTTCTGTATGTATATAAATAAACAGCATGTGAGGTAACATTATGTGTGCACTTTGGATAAAAATAGGAAGTGCTTTTTGTAATGGCATGTTTTATAATACGGTAGTATGGACATAATGACACGATCCAACGAGACGTGAGTTTGGTCAAAATTGCAGTGTCACCACAATCCATGCTTGCCAATTTCGAATGAAATACGGAAAACTTTCAGAGTTTGATGCATATCGTAAAATGGTCATCTTTGCTTAACCCCAAGGAAATAAATTACGACTCGTAATAACAACCCAACACGAAAAATCCGGAAAATAAAAACATGTAATCATTTGAGTCACCACCACTTACACAGTTTTGGAGTCCTTCTAAATCGTGGATGGTTTGAGGGTTCAGACTTTCAGTTTGACTAAATTTGTAATCTACACCAAATCCGTTTCTATGTAAGAATGTAATAGATTCGAAATCGAAAATTATACATTGTGCGGAATATAATTCCATATGTGCATTATTTGATTGGTCATTTAAAGCTGAAGGGTGTAGTTTTAATTTTTAATAAAAACGTCACATCGTTGTTAAAGCATCAAAATGCAATTTAAGCAACATCACCGCATGCTTAACTTACCTTCTCTTGTTTTAGAACCATCCGACAAAGTCAAAGTCGTTGTATTGGCAGTGATGCGTTACATTAAATAATAGGATTTGCAGTAGCTCTGCTGAACAATTAGATTAGCGTTCTCATGTGAAGAATTTCGTTAATGTAAACTTAAATCCACATGAAAAGAGCAACAACCTAGCCCGTAGTGCATTTTTCTACCCTTTGTGCATCCAGGTACATACTAAATCTACATGAATTTACTCACGACGCTGAAACATATATTGGCATTTTAAGCCTCATTACGAAACCGAAAAATTCTCTAATTTGCTACACAAATTATTGTCGTTAAGCCTGACAGTATAGACAGTAATTCAAATCTCATGATTCGCGAAAACACTATTTGATACATATGCATAAGTATTTGCGTATAAAAACCGAGTTTAAATATGTTTCCAGAAAATAAAGCTAGAACCATGGTTCATTTCCAAGAAAGTATTTTTTAGTATGAATAACTGTTTCATCGTATCATCCTCAATGACATTGCTGTATAATAATATAAAGGAATGCAGGAATGCTGCTTGAATTCTCACCACAAAATTCGGTTACACGAGGCAATTTTAGGAATTAAATGTTGTCACGAATTGAACTAATTTTGGGTTGGGTAGCTCTGACAGTCGCGAGGAGACTTTATGCCAAATATCTAGTTTCAAGTGTTCGCAAGCTACCTCGACTAAGGTGTTTTCAGTTGGACTTACAGTTGCCAGCTATCCATTAAGCCTTTGTGGTTGCCGGATTAGAAATAAAATAATATGTCACGTATGTATGTATCTGAAGATTTGAGTAGTGTCTTACGTGAGTAGCAAGTAATGCGCGTAATTTTATCGTCTTTTCGCATTTTATCATTGTTGTTCTTGGTTTTGGATAGTACTTGACAAAATTTAAGCAGCGAAACCCAGAATCATTGAGACATATGTAGGAATAAATGTATAACTTTTGCGTGCAAATGCAAAAATAACTCCCCGAAGCACATTATGTTTCACACTATTATTTTGACCTTCACAGCCAGATATTTCAATGAATTTTTAATGATGACTTTATGGGTCATTAGTTCAAAGTCAAATTGTGGATAGAAATCGTGTACAATTATGTACAATTCGTAATCAATTACTACACATTATGTACGACTAAATCGAACCCTAATTTTTATTTCAGGAAGATGCATACAGAACGGAGTTCCCAGGAAATTATAATAATTATAATTATTCTAGTTCATCCGTTTACTCTTACTCACCGGTAAGCTACAAATTTATAAACTATGCTGATAATGAACTGACCAATGAAGGACACATGTGAATATACAATTGTTTAATCCAAATAACCCCAGCAGTTGACCACTCAATCCTTTGTACAATCCCAGTTTTCAAGAATAAATACACTGAATAAAAAGGAATTCAAGTAAAATGAGCCAAAATTTGCTCATGTATACCTAAGTAATAAATAGGAGCAAAAATGCACCAACTAGACTACTGTTAAATTGTCACTATTTTGGTAGAACAGAGCGAGTAAACTGTATATAAATATAGCTACTGCAATTGCGATAACGAGATAAAAAGATGTTTGCTTTAATGTCCAAAAGTTTTTGTTCACACTTTGTTTTACTTACTGTACATGCATCTTCCTTCACTACCTAACTGTTTATGAAACCCATGCAAAAAGCACAACCTGAAGAATTTGTTGTGCTTTCTTTCTCTCACAATAGCAATTCTGCATGTTAGTAACCACTGCAAACTGACAGTATCGCTGGCACATCCATATAAATAAATATACATACACACAATTCAGGTGGAGTGACATGCAAATTTCAGTCAAACTCTAAAATTTGAATAACTGACACAATCTGTGTAGATAGATACAAGGAAGAAGGGAATACATAATGAAACAAATTAAGTAACAATAATATTGCACTGCCAGAGCAATCCAAAATCAACTGCACTGTCACTTTATTAAAAGCATTGTCAAATTTCGCAAAGTCATTCGCATCCATGTTATTAGAGCAGACGGTCCTCGTTTATGTATCTCTGCAGACATGTGTCTCTGGGCAGGATAATTTTGGATAGATTGAATTGCATATCCACGATGCATCTCAAAAATGGACGAATCTATAAAAGTGTGAATTAGTGTAGTAAGGACGTGGATCACAGCAGCAATAAATGATAATAAAGCGAATAATAAAGATGACAATATGCTTTACAAAGATAATTTGACAATCATCATCATGGTCATCGTCACTTATTTGTATCAATGTTTGTTTTTCTAATTGTGTTTTTGTCACCTTCATGAATTTCAGACGAGTACAAGTGATTGTCCAGAACACGGCAGGTCCCGCAGGTCACGGAGAACAACGTGGATTTTGGTGACTTCCGTGGTGCTGGGTGAGTAACAATACGTGTTTCTTTTCTTTATTACAATAGTTGATTAATTGATGACAATGAGATTATTAGTTGGCTAGAGTATTATTCCATTACTACTGGTTGGACGTCTTGGGTCCTAAGTACACATCGACTAAAAATTTTTTCATCAAGAATCCATGTATAATACCCCAGGACTTTTCATTTACATAAGTTGAGTTACTTTGTCGGTTTATACAGAGAGGATGAGTCAATGCAGTGTAGTCGTTTGGATTGATACAGTTTGGTAGTCGTAACAGCGAAGCCATTAGCACACACATATGTAAGTGGAACTCCCACTTGTACCGCTCCTCTTGTCGGACAAGTCCAATGGGTACCATCTTGTAATCAGGGTGGGAGGAGGGCTTGCTATTTTTGTAGTTAATGACGGGGTCGTTTAGGTTGGAGATACCATGAACTGTTCGAGATATGGCTTGGCCGGCATAAAGTATGTAGGGGTTTGAGACAAAGTATAGCGCAGCAACTTTTTCTTTCAACTCTTTTCCTCTTGATAACAACGTCCCAAGACCTTCACCCATTTCTGCTCGTAGAAGAAATGGAATCTGTTCATCCTCATTCAAATTGATTGCTGTTGCTGCTGATGATGACAACTTGTCATGAATCCTTAATTCCAAGCCATATTGATCCATTTCCTCCGCCAACTCCTTGTAAGCACCATTCGGGAAGTTAATCATCACGTTTAGGCATATTATTCTGATAGTAGTGTCAGGATAGAGGAGCATTTGGAACAGTGTCGTGGTCTAAAAGTATTGATTAAATGAGTCATTATCAAAGTGAAAGTTATATATTTTTACAGCATTATTACTATTACTACCTGTCGTGCTGCATAAACCTTCATGAGTTCATCCTCATCGTCAAAGTACCGACGGCGTCCCTCGAGTTCCACCAATTCGGGAGTTGGCTTCTTGGCTGCTTCACATTCGTTACAGTATAGTTTCCACGGGGAATTGTTTTGGTGTAAATGATTATATTCGACTATACGAGTTGCGTTATTTTGTTTCCCATCAGCATCCCCGTAAATAAACGTAAAAGAGGCAATGACGTGGAGGATGACATCGTTCTTTTTATTAGCCCCATCCGTAAACTGAGCCAAAACAAAACCAATCTGTGGACCTTTATGTGAGTAACACTTTGGAGCCTCTTGCATCATAGTAGACTTGGTTTTCACACAATCTGGAACAATATCATGAATTCAGATCGTACATCATGACTCATCAATTACTTAAATGTATAACTTACTCGCATTCCCAGAACAAATAAACTGTTGTTTTGAATTTGGGGCTATAAAAACAAATAATCCATACGATCGGTTTGTATTTGGCAACGAGAACGCTACTCTTGAGTTTGTCCCCCTGACCATTAGTCCGTCCGGTCCAGCTTCCCGTTTCTTGTTCTCCGCTATCAATCTCTCAGCGTCGCTGAGGGGGGAATATATTCCCTTTACTATTTCAGGGGTTAGAGGAGTCAAGTCAGAAGTTGTTGATTGTTGCGATCCCATATCCTCGTCTGAGGTGCAAAATCTAAACACCAATTTACCCACCTTTTATGGGAGTTAAGGCCAAAATGCATAGGATGCAATATTATTTACTCGTCGGACGCATCTCTCCTCCGACATAAAAAAAATTGTTTACCGTACAAGCAGTTAATGTGTAAAGTTAAACCATGTTTTGTTAAGTTGGTAAACGTGGATATTGGAAAGAAACCAGTAGAGAAAGGTGTACAAAATAGACCAAGTACGGGTAGAAAGTTGAAAAGGAAGAAACTACATTTAAAGAAAAAACAAGCAGTATAAATTCTTCAACAATTTTTTAAAGTGTACATAAACCTATTATTAGGTAGTTGTTGGCTCAGAAAGACAAGTTCGCAAAAACATAAGTTCTTTTTATGCGTAAGATTTATTTTATTTGGTTTTATATATTGTAATTGTGTGAATTAATTTGTGCTTGAATAAATTATCAATTTAGTTCTTTTTGTGAATTAATTGTGATGTTAATAAAATTGTCCCTTTTTTCCTTCCATTGTAGCCACATTGGGTGTCTTGAGCATTGCTGGTCTAGCTGCATACCTTGGAAGTAAGTCGTCGCCTTGCTATAAACTATAGTTTCCCATAATACTAACCGCAAATTGCATGATCACACTTTTATATGTGCTGTGCATATGCATACTACAATACGGTGAGCATTCAAATATGTGGGATTTCAAGGAACATGTACCTGTCTGACATTCAGCTCAAATGACACTTGTAAACATTATTTGGTTTTATCGCAGTGACAGTTACAATATTATTCCGGAATCAAAAGCTACCTTGTGTTCTCTTTCGAGATACCACTATTCTTATTCTTGTGGGATTTGGTGTTAAAATGCAATTAAAGAATGGAAACAAGTTTTTGGCTAATGCCTTCTAAGGACACAAAGTACTAAGCCTCGCGACAGACGCATATAGGTAAATTGGAGGGTAATAATAATGTATGTACCTAACACGTTTCAACGCTAGTTGTGCGTGCGACAATGATTTATTAGCGTTCGTAGTTAAATGTCCTTTAATGCGTGTGGCTGGTGCAGGATTAGAGTTTAATTGATTATGCACGCTGTATTGTAGATTATCATTATTATGTATTGATTTTGAATTTATTTTGTAAATATAATTCTTAGGATGTTATCGAGTAGGAGATTTTGTTCCTAGGCTCTTTTATATTTAAACTGCATCTTCAAACTGCATTATGCTTAAAACGCTTTGAAGATGGGATATTATTATTCGGATCATCACATTATACTTTATGCAGCTTAAAGGAATATAAATTCAAGGATCTGTTTTGTTGCTCAATATACAAGACGTCTAGGTTAAGTTTATATTTTGCATATTTAATTCCTCACACCCAACGTTGCCATTTAAACATATATTCAGGGATCTTACTTAAAAAATAGGTGGCGACTGCTAATCACTTGCTCAAATCATTAACAATTTGCAACCTTTAATATGTATATTTCCTTCAGTGGAAATTCTTTGTAGTTGCAGTTTGCATACAAGTATTTTTGTACGTAAGTACTCATAATAAGATATGGTAATAATTCCACCCAGTTCTATGTACGTAATACTTATTTCTGAACAGAGACACACGCACAGACAGTCAATACTTGCTAAATATATTATTCTGAGGTGTAGTTATCATGAGTCATTATTCCCTCGGAATACTAATTGTCACTTAATCGGTTGCCTTTGACTAGTCAATAGCTTCATAAATGTTTAATGATGTGTTACAAAGTGACACCTCAAATACAAGATTTCCACGCTTTGTGTAAGGATCAACGAGACAACGTACCCATCGTGTAACGATCATCATAAAGCTTTCCTTGTCGTCGTATGTATGTAGATACGCATGTGCTTAAAACATGTTAGTAGGTGAAGGGCTCAACTTTGGACGTTGTTGAATTTTGCATTGTATTAAATATTTCATTACTTTCTAGCACCAAACTCACGATTGTTGTTGGTGATGTCAAACTGAATATTTGTCAAGTTTGTGTATAAAAACTCAATTCAAATAGGAATTAATCAAATGTTCAATGTTTTACTGAATGCGTGGTCGACTTTGAAATATCCATTCGTACGTTTTTATGACATAACGAATAAAAGGCCTCCACTTTTCTAGTTTCATTATGATGATCATCGCATAACAAACACTCTCACATGCATGTCCCTAATTTGGGAAATGTGCAACCCATTTTGCCATTTCGGATTTATTATGAATGACTTGAAAAAGATTTTACTAATGAGCCGTATAATGTCCTTTGTAAATGAAGTTTGCTTAAAATTTCGGATGGTCAAAGTCACATTCAAAAAGTCCGCATTGTACCACATAATAAGGTACGTTGTATATGTGTACCAAGTTTGTATCGCTATTGATTTCTGAGGATATTAAAATGGCAATCACGTTACAGATAACAAATTGATATTTATTCATAGTTGTTAGTTGAGAGGGTGAGGATGGGCCATGCTCATTATTTGGCTCGTGCACGATTGAAAGCCACTGTCAATTCGTTTCAAATTGTAAAAAATTGCATTGCCAATTGGAAATTGCTCTATTATGCACTCCAAGCAGAGTTACATACATAAAAGGTTCTTGCTTTATGCTCGATGATGCATGTAACAACAATACAATCAACTAACTCATGGTTAATCACGCATTATTTGTACTCATGCATATGTACTTGTCCCATCGGAAGTTGGTAGAGTTTACTACATCAGGGACAACTATGGAGGGACCACATATGTACACGATGCAGGACGTCTACATGATACTAGTATTGATTTTAAATATTATTTATTGGCTGTTTTATTTGTGTACAATTTATGATTAATGATTCGTATGGTCGTGAGGAAAATGCTAAATAACCCACAGACAAATCTCATTGCCACCTGAAATTAAATATGTTGTAAAACATGATCATCCTCAAACTATCATAGCTAATTGAATCTTACCTCGTTAATCACTAATTAATTGCTTCTACAAGGAATCTACATGAATATTTTTATGTTATTACAGTAATATCCAAGAACATTAGCAATAACGCAAGCCTGTATGAGGAATCATATCTTCAAGGAAATACGACCAGTACGAGCCGAGGGGTGGAGACGTCGGAAGAGGACGACGATATTCTGCACAATCATGGAAGGTCAAGAGAAGAGTCTGGCTTTATTGACTTGACGAACTCAGTGTCAGATGTAAATACTGGGCTGGTGCCAGGGGATGATGATCTGATCAATCGTAGGGTAAAAGAGCCCGAAATTGTGGCTGATAATTTCATCAAGTATAAAAATACCGTTTCCCGTCCACCCGAAATAGTTCATGGGACTAAAATTAAGCCAAATTCAAACCCACCAATTCAAATTTCTGCAAAGCCAGTCAACGTAATTGTACAAAGCACCAGTGTATCATCCTCCTCCTCGTCCTCCTCATCATCATCTACAACAACCTCAAACTCAAATTCACCTTCTCCATCATCTTCAATTAACTCAAATTATTATAATCCGGTTGATATGATTCCTCCTCCAGTCCCGTCTTCCTCTGGTGGCGGTGGTCCAGAGAACGTTATCACGTACTTTACGGAGGAACCAACTTCCTCAAGGACCCCGACTAGGGCACCTTCCAGGGGAAATGATAGAAATCGGCATCGGGTTCCTCTTACAAATTCACATTCGCTGATGCCGTCTACCACGACCACCCAAACTAACAATAGGGATACGCTAAATGATGAAGAAATGCATAAAAGTAACAGTAGCACAAGGGATACGATCGAATCTAGCAGTAAAGACAAAGATGGTGGCTCTAATACTGGGACTTCATCTTCCTCTTCTGGGGACGTTCGATACAGAAGCACATTGCACAAAACGAGTAAACCAACAAGTGGTCATTCTGGAGGCGTTCGTGAGAGCATTGTTCACGTCACTCCTTCCGATGCAAAGGCAAATAGAGCTGGTTCGCAACAGAGCAAAGATGGTCATAAGTACGATCAAAATGCATTTGCAAAACGACATGGCCTTGTTGATGACCACGATGGTGAAGATGTTGAGAATAGTAACCCTCAACGAGACACTCTAATGTTACATAACAGCGATGATAACCAGAATAATCACCGTCACAAAAATAATCAAGAGCCCAACACCTCGGACGAATTTGGTAAAGGTGAAGAAGTCTCGACAAGCACTGTCAAGTTTCATTCGCCAACTCCTTCTTCCTCGCAACAAGGAGCTATGCCTAAAAATAAATCTGAATATTTTATGCCAATTACACCAATCATTAGTTCGGAGAGACCAGAGGAACCTAATGAAGACTTGCTAAATAATCACAAAATGCCGATAAGTTTTGATCGTATTTCGCCCGATTTTTACGACAAGAACCCTTGGACCCCGTTACTTGACCGTCCCAATATGGATAAACGACCCAGAGTGGACATTAGCAGACCATCGTCAACATCACCACAAGGCTACACGACATCTTCACCAGAGCCGATAATTGTTTGGAATACAGAATATTCTCACAACGATAATTATAATGAAGAAGGTTTGCGTGCAAATTCTTCGCCAGCACCACCAGCAGCATCACCACAAAATTATTATGGTTATGGCCACACTGCTCCTGGTCCTTTTTTTCCAAGCAATGGCAACAAGGAGATACGGAACCAAAATGCAAAACCAACTTTAGAGTTCGATGACAATGAGCCCATTAGTCATGGTATAAACACGTACTCTTCTTCAAAGCCAACTGCTACGAGTCCGACTCACACAAAATCAAGTCAAGAGCAAATGACTGTCCAAGTTGGTGTCAATAATACTACAAAAAAGGGAGGAGGAACGACAACAGTGGTTGAACCATCATCGTCTTATGTCGAGGAAACAACGGGTGGTTTCCGACCTCTTGCAATTCCTTCCTACACCGTGATTATTCCTCACATTCCTAATTCTCCACCAAAAAATGGGCATGAGCAAGGAAAAGGGGTCACTAAAGGTAGTCAAAAACCCGAAAATGCGGAGGCAGAGACCGACCGAAACTTGAACACTTCCGTCCAATTTGACAGAGTTGGACTCGTTGAGTTGGATGAGGAGGACAGTGGTGAGAAAGTCCAAAGAACGCCCGACGACAAGAGGAGGCAGAGTAGTGACGATAATGTTAACTATCGGCCGAATGAGCACAAGACCGATAATGACCACGGCAATGTAGAAAATGACATGGCAAAAAATGAGCCGGAAGACATTAAGGAAGAGGATTACGGGGACAATGACGAGTTAAGCGGTGGCAATCCATCACCAACTAAAATCTACAAGTTGGACCCAGATAATATAGATATTGTTCCGGATACTTTAGGGGACACTAACACTCATGTGATGGAATCGCAAGATCTCAAAAAACCCAACAGTACAGCCACAGAAAGCGACCGTCTCATCAATCACGACTCGTCAAGTGAAAAAAATAATTTCTATTACCACCTCCACCACTCTGCCGAGCAAGAGACTACTCCCAAAATGCCGGATCCTATTATCAAGTCTACCACAGATTTAATCATGAGTACACTTGGAAGCCTTAACCTCATCAAATCCTCACCGACAGCCCAGGCACAGCGAGATGACGTCGAGTCTAAACTGAGAGCTTCAGACTTTGCAGAAAGTTCAGAGTCGATGGAAGTCGACGACGACAGTAATGACGATCATGATGGTGGTGAGGACAATGACGAGCCAGGGGTTGATTCCCCCCTTTTCCCCCCCGTAAGGTCATATGTCGGTGTTAATCTCCCCCTTCGTCCAAAACCCTCTCCAGCCTCATTAACGGAAGAGGATTCTGGACCAAATAAAAAACTACGAATGTCCAATGATCAGGGGTCAATGCGACCTGACTTTAACGCCGTGTCCAATTTACAGAAGGTACTTTCCATGATGATGAAATTTGAGGGAGAAGATGAAAGTAGAGATTTGAAGGCGGATATCACTCCGAGTGTCAATGTGACCAAGCAGAATGTCAATTTGATTTTGGCCAAAATCAACGAGCCCACCGTTACAACTACAGCGTTACCTTCTCCCACAACTACGTCAACACATCGAGAACAAAAATCGTACAAAAATCGACATTCCAAAATTGATGAGCAATTTGCTCCACCGTCGAATGTTGAACATATCCCAGTGCCCTTAATAGTAACAGAGCCACCAAAAATCCCTATTGTGGGAAACCTGCCAAGTAATAAAATGACATTAACTAATGTCACAATCAATGATCAGAATTCACCGGTGTACAAGTTCGTGTTGCGTCAAGGCCAAGGTACTTTGGTTTTCAAACTTTTTGCGATATTTTTTTTTAATTTATACAATTTTGCATAATTCCATTTTTTATGTTCCAGCAGTTGAAGATTTGCTGAAAGAAATTTTCTTAAACTATACGGATATTCAGGGAGAAGGTGATTCTCCATCAACGACCGAGTTTCTCACTCAAATAAGCGCATCAAGGCCTAGCACGTCGTTAAAAAATTCTTCCTCGTTGAAATCGATTTCAAATTTTCACAATTTAAACGACAAATCGAAAACAGAGCAAACAACGCAAAATGCAATTGGAGTGACTTTTGCCAGTGTCAAAATCAACCATCCTCATCTTAGACCACTCTCACAATCAATGATGACCACGACATCCTCATCTATCCGAACTTCTGATGCTCCCGTACAGACATCAACGTCAATCGTGATCAACCAAGATGATGAAACACTAGAAGAATGTCCCAAAAACATCACTTTCACATGCGTGTCCACTGGAAGATGCATCCCGTCATATTTGAGATGCAACTTTATCAAAGAGTGTCCCGATAATTCTGATGAGTCTAATTGTAGGTTAGTAAACTATGCAAATGTTTCTTTCAGTCGGTGAAAAATGAGCAAAAATAATGAATAAGCACATAAATGATAAATGTATACGACATTTAATTTAATGACGAAGTTAATTTAATGGTAGATGTGAAAGTGGAGGGATGATTGACTATCTATAACAGTATTCATCTGTGGTTTTACACAATCAATTTATATTTCTCAACCATTATCTTTCCACAGTTGTGCCGACTTTCTTAGAGCCAATGGCAATGGGAGAAAGCTTTGTGATGGGTGAGTTTGAAAACTAGTGATAGTACTTATTTTCGTGTAATCGCTCATATCCAATATATTCTAACTAATAAAATTTTCTAGCGTTGTTGATTGTGCGGATGGAAGTGACGAGTATCAAGTATGCGAATACTGCAAACCAGGTCAATATATTTGCTCCGGCTCCAGAAGCTGCATCAACAAGGTAATCATTTTGCGTAATATAATTCATTCGAGGATCAGGCACAAAAATTTGTCTATGAATTTCAGACACAAATTTGTGACTCGAAGCGAGACTGCCCGAATGGTGATGATGAGAACGATTGCGTGAAAATTGGACAGTCTCAAATTCCTGAGGGAACTGACCTAGAAGAACTTTCTTCGACGTACAATAAGAATGGGCATTTAATGGTTAGAGATATTTATGTTTGATTATACCTTGTGCGGAAATGATCATGATTTTGTATATATAAAATCGTATTTGAATTGGTTTTGACACGCAGGTTCGAAAGAAAGGAGTTTGGGGAAAGTTGTGTGTAGACACGTTCAGCTCTGTCGTTTCTCACTGGGAAGTCAAGGACTTGGCAAGAGCAGTGTGCAAGGCGTTGACATTCTCGTGAGAATAATTAATACTTCATTATAAAGTAATCATGTAAAACTCTTATTACCAATTAATAACCGATTCTAGTGATTTTGACTCCGTGGAGCGCATCCAAGACAAATCCGTCAACAGCAGCACGCCGTACTACGAACTCTTTTATGGAGTGTCGAACAATGACACGGACGATTCTTCGCCATCCAGTGACGATGAGCCCTACTCGTCGGAATCGACTCCAAGGGTCGGACTAGGTTTTAAGACAACCGAGTGCAAGTCAAAACTTGTTGTGAACGTGACATGTCAAGGTGCACAAATTATTTATAATTAATTATTTAGGTTTTCTCGTATTTTCTACACACATAACGCATACATTGTCCAGTGTATACTGGACAATTACAGTAGAGTATGCAGTTCTGGTGCATTGGTTTGATTGTTTATATTTTAATCAATGTCAGATCTCCAGTGCGGTACTGCGCCCAAATCCTTTACCCAGACTTCAAGGTATAGAGTTACAAGGTTAATATTTATGCTTATTTATTTTCGCCTTTCTACAAAATATCCGTATTAAAAAATTCATATCACTCTCGGCAAGGTTGACCCGAACCATTTTATTCTACATTTTGGTCTTCAAAGTTATAAAATATGTTTACAATATATTTGTTTAGGATCGTGGGTGGGTCAAATTCAAATCCAGGGAACTGGTAAGTCGAAGTCATCCCATCCATTGTCTATTGAGGTGCAGTCCTATTAATGAATTATTAATATCCCTGATTTCAGGCCTTGGCAAGCAGCATTGTATAAGGTATACAAAGGTTTACAAAATCTCATTTTGATGCCAAACTAACAGTAATAATCAATTAAATTTTGACTTTAGTCTGGGTCTTATCAATGTGGAGCTACCTTGATCTCATCCCGGTGGCTGTTATCGGCCGGTAAATATATAGCAATAATGTTTAATTAGGAGAACTAATAAATGATAATATTAATAATGATTGTTATTATCTTATTTCAGGACACTGTTTTTATAAGTAAATTCTCCAAATATCATTTGTTTAATTTGCTTTTTTAAGACGAAATGATGAGCAAGTCTTTTGGTTAAAATATCGACAGTGCTCAAGATGACTACTGGGTTGCAAGGCTTGGGACCTTGCGCCGAGGCGCCGCGGTGCTCTCCCCATACGAACAAGTTGTCAAAATCACGCACATTTTCCTTCATCCAGGATATCAAAATGTTGGGTTTGTCAACGACGTAAGTTTATTGAGACTCGAGAAAGAGGTCAATTTTACCGACTATGTGAGACCAGGTAAAACCCCATCTTAACCTTAACATTTACTTGCCCTAGTATTAAGTACTTTTTGTGTATTCGTTTCCAGTTTGTCTTCCTTCACGAGAAAACAAAATTCGTGATGGCCGAATGTGTACCGTTGTGGGTTGGGGTCAACTACAAGAAGTTGGACGGATTTTTCGTATGCATTCAAAAATATGAGATAGCGGTGATGATAACAAAGAGTGACATTTTTTATTCTTATTTAGCTGATACGTTACAAGAAGTGCAGTTACCTCTAATTTCTACTTCAGGTTATTACAATTGAAACTCCATGATAAGCGAGATGAAACTAATTATTGTATACTTTCAGAGTGCCGCAAGAGAACATTGTTTCTTCCCCTGTACAAATTGACAGGTAAATAAGTCTTTAAGTTATGTCTTGTAGCGACTAATGTTCACTTCAGCATTTTTACCATTTTACTTTTGTTTATTAGACGCAATGTTCTGCGCTGGTTTCGACCGAGGTGGTCGTGATGCATGTGAGATAGATATACATACGTAAAAACGTTAAGTATGTATGAGGTCTGTAAATATTTGCCTAATTTTATTCTGCAGGTTTGGGAGATAGTGGTGGTGGAATGATGTGTCCAGTGAGTATTTCATTCATGTATTTCTGTTCATTATTCTTGTAGCTCTACAATCTTTTGAACTTTAGGAAAATGATGGACGATGGTCAATCTATGGAGTAACATCCAATGGTTACGGCTGCGCTAGGGCTGCACGGCCTGGTGTTTGTGAGTTTTACATTTCCAATCAATTTTTTTATCCCAAACCATGGTCCGCTCTGTCCGTCTGTCCATCCGTCCGTATGAACAGCGTTTGATACAGACGGCAAACGCATTTGTTCCCAGTGGATGAAAAACGTTCTGAACCAGTGAGAGTGTCGTGTAAAATTTTTAAAAACGAGGCAGACTTTGCAACAGAACTAAGTTTACCCATTATTGTAAATTTTTCAACCTGTGGGAATGTAGGATCCAGCACGGAAGTAGATTTCATGAATTTATCCCTGGAATAAACCATATTTGATATGGTTGTGTATGTATAATTCATATTATCTCTATCTACACGCAGATACAAAAGTGGCGTCCTATTTGGACTGGATTCATGAAAAGATGAGTCTCGAGAATTCGTTTGCTTTCAAAGAGAAACCCAAACATTGTTCTGGTCATCGGTGTTTGCTAGGTACATGCATCCGAGTACTTATAAGGATTCATAGATCTAGTAGAAACAAATGTGTAATCATAGTTTTCATTTTCCAGGAGAATGTTTAGAAAAGAGACAAGTTTGCAATGGAATTGTGGACTGCATCGAAGACAACGGGAGCGATGAAAGAGGTCCGAACTGCACCACCCACTTAGGACTTGCAGCAACCTAGAAATATCTCCAATTAACACCTAGTTTCCTAATTGAAAAGAATAATATTTTGCCCATCGAGCTATGCAGAATGTACGAGCGAGTATTTTGACCACGTATTAACGTGGGTTCGTAGACTGCAAAGGCAACCAAATGTACTTGATTATGACTCACTACATTAATACTGTATTGTGCAATTGCTTAATTATGCTTAAAAGAGTCAGCTTAAATCTCACTAGTGTTATAAGTACCTGCTTTCACCAATGAGGGGAGGGAGGTCAGAGGGGAGACTTTTTTTAAATGATGACAGAGTTACCTAAACTGTTTTGAGGGGTGAAATTGTGATATTGTTGTTATATTACGTTAAAGCATTTATTTACATACATAAAACAACCATAAACTTTTTTTTATTTAATGGAAAATGTTGTTTAATAGTTTGGGGGTGGTATTTAAGTAATTATAGACGGGGGTTCCACTATTTATTTATTGTTGTAAAGTATCGTCGTGGTTTAAAACACTACAAAAAAGCAAATGATAGGAGGCTTTAATGTATGCTAATTTAACAATACTACTGTTTGTTAATACTGAAAAGAATCTGCCATTATACGACAATTAGTTTACGCTTTGTCTCCTACTTGAATAAGAGCGTCTTTTCTAAGAGTTGTTAAAAACTTATTGTTGTTGTAGTATGTTATGTTCTCACAATCTTAAGACGATTTATGTATCCACATCATGCCCAATCTTAAGAGAGCTCAAAAAACCAAAGCAAAAAATAAATATGACAACATTTCTGATTCACACAACTTTTTTACACTCAAAAGTTTATTGTTCCATTTTATTAATTTCATTCAATATATATAAGCTGTAAAATAAAGCAATTTGTCACAATATGAAAAATATTCAGTATGCATTCTAGGCAATACTAGACATACATAATTCATATCACTAGTCAGACTCGTTAAACTCTAATTTGCATGATTGTCTTATATCGTATGTCTACATAATTTAAAAGCTGTAAATTGCATTGCCACAAATATGTTTCACTGATCCTGAGTATGCTTGTTCCCCATAATCATGCATTAAATAATTTAAAATTTCAGCTAAGGAAGACTTAATTAAAGCCTCATGAATTATTATGCTCTTTTTTAGATGGCTTAAAGCTAACAACACCAATTGTATCCTTGTCTCACAACATATTTAAGAACACAAACTTAGAACCATACTTTTCTTCTGCATTTCATTGTCAGAACAGTAAATAATAAGTTCATCAGGAATTTTTGTCCAACCTAATCCACAACCAAACAGGGAGCAGCAGATACAAATTGCTATACAACACACAATATGCGTATTAGTATTAGTGCATTCTTATGTGTGATATTTCAGGAGTTCTACTTGATATAACACTTTAATGTTTAATAACTATCAATTTCAATGTAGCATTATTATAAAGCTTCTTATTAGAAAAGTAGATTGCTCAAGCACCTCAAATCTCGTTAAATCATCAGTCTCTATCAAACGTTTTCCAGTGGACCCTTGTCAATAGCAATGTCATTTGTCAAAAATATCGTTTCAATATATATTTGTTACAAAATTAACACCAGCGTATTTACTACGATATACTATTACCCAGTTTTCAGTTTGGTCATTTCATTTTCTGCAGTAACAATCTTTGGATCGGAATTTGAATGTCGTTGTTTGGACATCACGTGCAAGGGATCATTATGTCTTGAATTGCCATTGTTCATGATGCCATTCCTAACACCATTGGTCGAGGAGGAGACAGCATTATTTTTTCGACCAAGACTTTTTATTGTTGGCAGTAAGAACACAGCGAGAGCTGCAATGTGGACAAAAAAGTACAGGCTCCTGCGAAAAAAAATTAAATGCAAATTAGGTATGATACGCATACTGTATAACTAGTGTAACTCTTGCAAACACTTTTTGAAGACTCACCTGTACACATTTAAACTAGGGAAAAAATCCAAAAGACAAAACGAGAACGACGCATAAGCAATAACGACTCGTGTAATAAACCATGAAGTAAAATCGTATGACGATTTGAGAACGGTATTCATCATAAAATGGGGTCGAATTAATCTTCGTACCTAAATTTTTAAAAATCGAATTAGAAAACTTTGTGCATAAATCAGACTCTGATAAACAAATAGCGTACAATTCTTGCAGATGATGTGAATAGAGCCCCACTGTGTAAAAATTACAAAGAATAACTTTATATATACATAAAATTCAGGTGAGTTGAAGTTTCAACAGTACCTAAAGAACGTTATGTAATATCCAGGATAGAAGCCATGCCAGCAAGCGGAGCAGGCGTAGGTTGCCACTAATAAAAAATTAGAGGGTGGAATGGAGATTTCTTATACATTTTTCTCGTTTATACTGGTAATGTGTGTGTATGACATTACATACCTGTCCTAATCCTTGGACTGCACCTGTCGTATACGACATACCTCAACCATTTCATCGTGCCTATGTTCCACTGGTCAAGACTATTTTTGAAATTTGTGCCGAGTTCGAACGCTAACGCATCAACGTTAGTTACCAAATCCCACGATTTGGTTTCTTTCTTGTAACCTAAACCTGATGCGTTACACACGGCGTCCGATAAAATCCAAGCGTGGTAATACTTGGATCTACGACACAATTTAGGAATTAATTTAGTTTCAATTAGGAATTATAGATTTCTATCATTACCTCTCTAACGACGTCGACACGTGAATGAACACTATTTTGTTCCAAAAAGCTCTCTGAAGGAACTCCTCCTCTACATAAGTCGCTTAATATTATATTGTGCATCACGAAGAATGATTTATTAAAAATATGAAATTGTTACCTCTTAGATGGCTAATATTATAACTTGGAGCAACTTTCAAGTACAGCAATGCAAAGAAAATACTTCCAAACAATTTCTTGAGTACGACAACAACTGAACTGGGCGATTCGTCATAATAAATAAATTGTCGAAAATCTTTGAAGAATACTAAAGGTCCCGCTAACATTGATTGGAACTGGAAAATGTAGCTCCAAAACTCCAATGCATCGGGAACCTCGCTGAAAAGATGCAGATTTTCTTGCTCAGCCGTGATACAGTAATACATAAATATTATAAACCTTACCTAATTGCATAGGCTTTTTCGAGTTCGCTATTTTTCTTGTCAGCCTTTTGTTTTTTCCCATCATTTATAGCAAACGCCAAAGAGGTCACTTTTTGTGTTAGGACCTATGAAATATAATCAATATACCAAATTAACCTGTCCCATACATAATTCTCGCATGTCCCACTAAAGTTCAAGGTATTTACCATCAGGGGGGCTGTAATATCTAAGGAATAACCGGGAGCCAGAAATTGTCTCCTCATGTGCAGCCATGCCAGATACAACATGGATACGATAAAAACATACCTGAATAAAATATAGGGACCAATAAAAATGTGTGTAATATGCAAGTCCGTTATTAAAGTTTAACCACACCAACCATGGCATATAAGTTGATCGGCAGCAATAACGAATAAGGACAAAGCTCAATCCGGCCGAGATGAGAACATGAAATATTTGGACACCAAAGCAGAAATTACAGATGCAGATGCCGGAAATTAGGCAATACATCAATCTCGCCCGTGGATGCTTTACATATTTCTTGAGGATAAAACTGAGGATTACTGCTAGGAATTGGCAAGCAATGAAATTGATCTGTAATAAGGTAGAAAAACAAAACCCTTGGTTAACCATAATATGTATCAGATTCATAAAGCATGAAATTGATAATTTTATCAAGATTTGTGAATTGGTGTTAAATAGGATAAAACTATATCGAGAAAACTTTGAGATAAAATTGAGAAATTGTGATAAGACATGTAACACCTACGAGTATTCCCAGTTAATGTGGGGAATATTAGAAGGGATCAGTTGACATTCTTCAACACACACATATGTATATATGTACATGTGCGATAATCTGGATTACTCAATGAAAACAACCAAGCAACCACTGCTGAGAACCAACACCCAAAACACACACCAACTAAATCATTGACTTGTTATCAACCCTCACACCAATTAGTCATTTAGCATTTACTTGATCAATTGACAATGATGTAAATTCAGCGATTGCTAGGAGGGAAGTGGACCCTGTGTATTCACTCAAAAGCAAGTCTCCCTTGTTTCCCATTTTGTTTCTTGATAATCTCTTGCAGCTTCACCCTTCTTGTAACTTAATTAATCTGTCAAACAAAAAAATAGGCGTTCTTTACTAAATGCAAGTTATATCATCTTGTGTTCTATTATTAAATAATTATAATTACAAACAACGACAAAGCCCCAGCTGGATCACCATTTAGTACCGCTTCCTTTACTGAAAAATGTGGATATTTTCAGTCTGATTTCATAACTGGCTGCGTCTGAAAACATTAGCAAACCAATTTATTTAGATCAGGTATATTTCTTTAACGAACCCTTCCATAAATAAACTTCATTAATAGTCACCGTTATTCATACATATGTGCATTACATTCCATAAAGTTTAAAGTTACTTTCTACATACTACAATCTTAAGAATTCTAGCACATTTAATATGTAGACTGACAGACAAGATACAATACGTTTTTAAATAGCTCTTTTAATAAACTATTCTACACATTCGAAAAGAATAATACGTTTATCTACTTTTAAAATTCCATAAAATTTATACATATTGCTTACCATTTTTAAAGGGACACTGGCTCACAAGCTTTACTGCTGCTTAATTTTATAATGAAAGTTGGACTTGAATAATTGGAGAAATCTCTTGTGCCTGATTAGTGATTGTTGATTAAATAACTTGTTGACCAAATGCCAACTTGTTGCGTTTGTAGCTTCAGTAGTTCTACATTTGTTGTTCTTCACGTAAACACGGCCAGCCTAGCCTACAGGTTGTGCAGGAGTTGATGATGCTGATGTGACTGACTTCATCTCCTCACTCACAATTCGCCTTTACAAATATCTGCAACCCTGAACTTCATCCACGCAAATCCAATGGAATTTCAGACTCTACTATTTAGTAATCTCCTAAATACATATTTCTTTGAAATCCTATACTGCTTGGTAGAATTATTATATTGCTTTCCTCACAACACATAGCCACAGAAACTTACTTTTGTGCTTTGTTATTCCTTGTCATACATTTCACATACGCATGATTTTTATTTTTTGGGATTATTTTGGTGCATCTCTCGGTCTAGAAATTTTCAATATATATTGTGGGCCAGTGTTCTTTACAACGACATAGGAAGAACAAACTATGAATGAATGAAATAATGGTTTGTACTTATAATAACAAATATGCAAACCATTATTATCCTGGATGGCTGCGGTTAAACATCTATGCGAATTGGCAATATAATACTAACGTCACCACCATTTTAAGTATTTTATGCAAGGGTTTGTATCGTCATCACTAAAAAAAGTAAAATGGATTTGGATGTGTCACTCTGCTCTGTTAGACTATTACTAATTTTTCAGATGAAAGTACACAAGTGAATCGAATCGCATTTCCTTCCGAGTAAATAAAATAAGCCTGGCCTGGACTACTCTTACTACATGGTTCAACTTTAGTCATCCTAACGTATATTTTTAGCGTGCATGTATTTTATGTGTATGCACAAAATGAACGGTTTTTGTGCATATTGGTGAAGAGGAGCATGTAATATCGGCGAGTGAAAAAATGTATTATGGTTGACCTTCAATCCTTTGATTGAAGCTAAATATTGACTTTATGATTGAGCTACAAAATATTTCAAGTGCTAATTATTGATAAGGTTAATCGAATGATAATTTTGATAATCTTATTGCAACACTTACATGGATATGATGACGAGGCAAACATCAAATGTATATTTTATATGGTTTTGGTTTGTATAAATTCAATGTATTTATTATCATGTTTTCACTTGCTCATGAAAATTACACCATCGTTTTGTTCAAATTTATGTACCCAGTTCCTAAGCAAGACATTTTGTACAATTTCTTTCGCTTAGATCTATCCTCATCATCTTCGTCTACATTACCATTTTTCAGAGAATCAAAATAATCTTCAATTTTAAAAGTAACGCCAAAAAACGTTTTTACATCTCTAAGAAATTGTACCGTAAATGGTGTAAGGGGGCCCATTACTACGGAAGTCACATCTTTCGGCCCTAAAGTCATAAATCCCAACACTAACCACTGAAACACAGAGTCAACTCTGGACTCTGTTGCGATTTCGGACAACAATAGCTTAGATATCTCAATTCCCAGCTCTTCTGGACTTTTTGCGTATGACTTTGCTGTTGTGGTTAATGATGAATTTGTGCTCTTCGTATCTCCATCATCCATTAGTTTGCGCATTTTTTTGGGGTTTTTAGCTGAAGATCCCTCAATATAGTTATCATGATTATCATCATCATCATCATCAGGAAACAGACTGAAAGCTCTTTTTTTCTGCCCTTTAACTCCTGCTGGGGTCAAGTTTGTATTTGACAGTGGATTCATCAGAGAGTGTTCATTTGATTTCTCCAATTCTTCTCTCCCTATGAATCCGTCAGTGGCATAGACAATATTTCGCGTTGTTTCAGCTAAAATTTAAGAATATATTTACGTAGAATCAAAAAATGTGAGATCAGGGTTTGATGCATATTCAGAAAATAACCAAATAAACTAACCATACAAAACTAGACCATATCCAGGATGTTTAGATTTTGAGTTCTTCACTGCGTCGCTCGTAATGAATACATCATTAATGAAGGGAAGGAACACTCCTTTTGCAGCTGTAATGACTCTATTCAGCATTTGAGGCGACACTCGAAATCCATATACCAATCCTCGAATCTTTTTCACCTTTCCTGATTCTTGATTCAATTGATTTCTAAGGGTGAGCAGTTGTTTCTTGACTGTAGATGTGAATAATACTTCTGATTCTTCAAAACTCCTGGATTTGATCTATCATCAAAATCATAATAAGAAGATAATTCACTTTGAGATTTTTATTGTCAAATCTTTTAAATTACCTGCAAATCCGGTTCAATTCCGAATGTTTCCATAAGTGGAAAAGCAGCATGTTTCAATTTATAGACGGAATTATACCCAACAGCACCGTCATTATTTTGAATTCTCCCCTTGAGTGTGAGTCGGAGTGGTTTCTTGAAGAATGGTGCGAGTAGAAGGACAGGTTCCAAGTAGTAACTCAGTGGTCGAGACTCGGCACAAACGTGGCTTATCGTTCCTCCTGCTAACGTCCCTGGAATGAGAGTGACCTCAGTCCCCGTTTCACTTATCTTTATCTTGGATCCGTTGGATAACTTGTCCAGGAGACGTACAAAGGAGACCTCGTAGTCAGTGACGCCCACCTGGAAGGGAGACTGAGATCGTATTTCGGAAATATGGACAGGTCGGGCGGAGAGGAGAGAGAGCACAAGTCGTTGGCGAAAGTAGTTACTTCCTTGCGAAAAGAAGAGCTTCTTTTTGGAGAGGAGACTTTCCTCCATTACGAAATAGGTTTTAAAATAGCCCTTCCTTATGACCTTTAATTGACTAAGTAGTTTAATTTTTAAAACTTTTATAACTTCGAAGTTCAATTAATTCAAACGAGAATGTTGAATGTAGAAGTCACAAGTCACAACAAACTCCGCGTGGAGATCGGCTGGTTTGTGATGTTCCCGGTGCATAAAGGCGACTAAGTGCCCCGCATTACTATACTGTTGTATTTAATATCTACCTTCCATGAGGTAGATTGAGACATGAGGGTAAGTAATACTCTAATTCTGTGATTGAGACTTGTCAAGTTGAGAAAAGTGAGATTTTGTATCACAAACTTTACTTCCATTTAGCTATTTTTACATGAATTGTGTAATAAGTTTAATCCAGTTTTAACGGTAACTAATGTTTTTTGCACTATTAGAGTGAGACTATACTAGTATATAATCAGTTCTAGTATAATATTGAGTATACGGTATATAAATATTGAAACTGTAGAAATTACAAAGGAAAGCAAGCCAATAATTCCTTAATCTATATAATTAATTACAGCATTAATAAGCAATAGCATAGAAAAGAGCGATTAAATCATTCGACCAATTCAATTCCGAAATTTATAATATATACGACACGAGGGCGATGAGAAATGATAGTTGGAGTATGTAGTAGTAGTACTTTCTATACTGGCGTTGTTCCTGGATCTGGAACTATTGGAGTTGGTTCCGGTGGCGAAACTCCTGGAACGAGAAACTCGCTCCAATTAATGTGATTAAAAACAGTATTTTGAATCTGTTCACGTTCAGGGGAATTTTCGTCGTCATTCGTATCCATCCCACGTGAACCAGCTTGATGATCGGCCGAAGAACTCAGAACGTGGCGTCTTGCAAATATTTCATTGGCCTGGCTGCTTGGTGAAAGCGAAGACGCAGAGTTTGCTGATGCCAAAATTCGAAAATCAGTTGCAGGTCTTGATCTAGGACCACCTGAACAAATACATGATGAATAAATAATAAATACTAGCACATAATTATTGCAGATATAAGTTACGTGGAGTTGTTTTGTAAGAACTTACTCATATTAAGCAAGATATATTTAAATAATAAATAGGTAAGTACGTAATACTCACTCATGTTAAGCAATGATTGCACCCCTTCACGACGAGGCCGACCTGGTCGACCAGGCTGAGAAACCACAGAGAAGCTCGACGGAAGGTCCGGAACTGGAGTTGGTTGGGGTGGTGAAACTCCTGGAACGAGAAATTCGCTCCAATCGATGTGATTGAAAATAGTGTTTTGAATTTGTCTGCGTTCCTGATAATTTGACTTTTCATCAAAATCTTCATCGTCTTCTTCATTGTAATCGGTCATCAGACGTGAACAAGCCTGATATTCGGAATATGCATGAGACGTGGGACTCATAATGTGTCTCCTTCCAAATTCATTGCCCTGACTTCTTGGCGAAAGCGAAGCTACAGAGTTTGTAGATGCAGGAGTTTGGAAGCCACCACCATCGGTTGATGGTCTGGACCTAGGACGAGCTGAATCAGTGAATTTAAATACGTGTTACTAGTATCAGTCAATTAATTATGCAAAGTAAGAATTAGTTTAAAAAAATTAATAGTTAAATACGTAATACTCACTCATGTTGAGTAATGACTGGACCCCTTCACGACGAGGTCGACCAGGCTGAGGGATTACAGAGAAGCTCGATGGAAGGTCCGGAACTCTTATGAAGGGCTCACGAATATGCATATTGGGGTGGAAGAACTTGCAACGCGGACCTTTGTGACAGAATCCAGCCAAAAAGTATCGACAAGGCAGCATTCTCTTCTCGTCATCCCGATCAATCCTGGAAGGATTGCTGATCATTGCTCTACGATGATACATGGTACTTCCTCTCTGGCGTACTGGTCCTGTACAAATAAGAAACAAATAATTTCCAATTACTCAATAACAAAGTATTATTTTATTTAGTAGTATGAGACAAAATAATAAACTTTTCTGTTGTCCTCAAGTAAAGGAGTTTTGCGTTGGCTAGGAATTAAACTCACGAATAACTTGAGTTTCAAGAGTATTTCTAACAAAAAATGATATGATCTTGCACCAATAATCCCAATCTTATCATCACATAGGAGAAATGTTATACCCGTACATAATATCATAAGATTCGTGCATAGAGTGTGCATCTTATCTACATATATCATCATATAGGTTAACACTGTCAACATGCAAAATTCGGATTCACAGAAAAGCAATTCGAAGAAATCTCCATCAATGTCACCATACTTGGCATCTCTTTCGGAGATGCAAGTTCGCAAGAAGGTTTTGAGTCCGATAGCATTTCATGCAGCAAGCGTTGCCTCGAAATTGTTTGGAGGAACCAACTGCACTTTACAGGAAGTATTGTCGTATGTTGAGGATGAAACTAGTAACAAGAACAAGAATCAGGGAGGAAAACTGCAAGAAACTCAAGGAAAAGGAGGAGGACAAGGCGTCGTCATAAAACAAGGAATTCCTTTTGAAAAACCTCCAAAGCCTAAAACAGTGACTTTAAACCAAGTTCCTAGCGGTACCAAAAACAGCAACAGTATTCACATGAACAACCTAAAATCAAAATCGTCTACTTCATCAGCAACAGATCATCTCAACTCAGCATTTACCTCGTTGAGACAAGCAGAAAAATCTTTTTCATTTGCAGAAATCAGGAGCAATAACAAGCCACCAAATTTTATCAAAAACATTGCTCGTACACCTCGACCGTCATCTTCCCGAGCCAGCCTTGGGAGTGAGATGAAACTTCCAACTGGTAAAAATATATTATATGATATGACGTGACACGTAATCCATGATTACACTCAATATTTTTCATATAACAGGGCGTAAAGGGTCAGATCAAAGCAAAAAGTCATCAGAAGAACCTGAACCAATTCCAGTGACAAAGCTAAAGTCAATCTTAAAGCTCTCTTCGTCGAGTAATTTGGGCATCAGCAAAGTCAGGCCAAAAACAGTTAACAAACTAAAGACAACCACCTTGAATAAGTGTGACCTACATAATAAGAACATTGGGGACAATATGGGTATGAAATTCATGATTGTAAAAAAATAATCATATACACGTATTTATAATCTTTAATATTTCATGTACTAAATAATAAATTTGCGTCTTCACTAGGTATTTCCAAAGACGGAATGTGCAATAAGAAGGTGACATTTCTTGAGAAAGTGGAGATACATCCTGTTCCCTATGAAAGTCGAGGTAGCAGCCACCTCCACCAATTTAGCAGTTAGATTAATGTTGTCTTTATTTCTTTCCCCACCTCCACCAGGCAGTACAGAATGGCAGTACAACTTGTTGCAGCAGAGAGAAAACGTCCTCAGGAACATTTTTTCAGGACCTCGCCTCGGATCTTTAAATGACAGCTTTCTCTTCAGCAACTCAAGTTGGGGAGGACCACTGGATAATTGGGGATTTGGGATTACGCCGAACCGAATTCGACGACCACCAAAGCCATCGTAATCAATGCGTAATCATGACTCAGAGTAATCCAGAGAATGCTACTTAATGGATCGTACACAATTAATGTAATGATTATTTCATGATTATATGCAAATTAGAGTCGTCCTATATTGAAACTAAATCGTTTATTAGCTTAATTGTAATAAGAAACTAATTATTCGAATAAAATGTGGCATGATGGGTAAAACTGCATAAAAAGAGTTGTAGAATTTCATACGACTGACGACGAGGGATAAGATGAAACGAGGGTTAGAGGAAAAATGGGAATTGCCTTTGAGTTTGTGTCGGATTTGAGCGGAGGAGCCGGCAAAGTTCATTGCTTTCTCTCTCCAAGTTTTCAGAGGTTTCGTTTTTTCAAAGAAGAATTTCTTTCAACTTGACAATTCAAGGTTTCATTTCAACTCGCTTCTTTTGTCGTTACTCGTCATAATAATAAGTATAGTATTAGTGCAAAGAACATGGCCAAATTAATTTGATTGTTCTTTGAGCGAACTAACCTTGTGCCTTATCAGATGCATGTGATTATTTATAATGTGAACTGTAACTCTGTATGTTTTTAAAATCTAATTGAGTTGGTCAAGTTCTAAATACAAATATAAATTAATTATTCTTTTAATTATCTTACTCTCGCTCCCCCTTGTCATGGGCATTTTGGAACGGCGGATTACGCCACAACAATTATTGTCCTTTGCTAATATTTATACCCATGCAATAAAGGAACGCTGGAGCCCAAAAATGCTTAAAACTTATGCTAAAAACAACCCCACCCCCTGCCATCAGCAGATAATCCGTTCATTCTCACGATCAATCTCCTCCCCCAAAGAAAGGAAGACCCAACCCCACAAAGGTCACGTTATTACGTCAGTGCCTAGTTGTCTTACCCTCCCAATGTCACAAGTTATAATGATAAGTAAGTGCTTTAGCGGAAAACCGGTAGAAAATGGCGTCCATTGTTGGAAGTGCAAGCAAAAGTTGGAGAGTGGTTCGGAGTTGGATTACCTTCTCTGTTCCGGGTGTGGGAGCCCTCAGCGTGTGGTTGTGGGTGGTGATGGCGATACTCGGCGTGGGGTGTGGAGACCTTCCTTCTACGAGTTGCTGGGCGTGAAGGAGCAAAGTTTCGCCGTGGACGTGGACGAGCTGGCTGCGACTGTGAGGAGACTCCAGAAGAAACTGCACCCAGATCTCTTTGCCGGCAAGGGAAAGGTCAGTCGTCTGTCCAACAATTTTCCATTCCACTTTTTCACCTCTTGGCCAGCAGGCTAGCTATTTGACCTCACGAGTCTCCTCACTTACTCAACCCTCAGCCTCTTCATTTCCATCTCTCTCCGACCACAATAGAGTTGGACATACATATTAATAAATATTAATAATTGGTCATGGAAGAAAATATTCTATGCTACTCGTTGTTGGTCTACAACTCTTTTTCTCATCTCAAAAATATAACTAAAATATTAATAAAACTTTGCCTGACGAAGTTCACTGTATGTGAAAGAAAGCTCGCAATAAAAATAATTCAAGAAAATGTCCTTAGATGCCGATGAAATTACTTCAATATTAAACCTATTTTATACTCGACTTTTATTCCTGTACTCTCATGATACAATGACATAATACATGATAAATGACATTTATGAAGACAACGATAAGTCTAAAATATGCTAACTAGTAAGTGACGTTGTGTTTTACAGGAGGAGGAGGAGGCGAGCCAAGAGCTATCTTCTCTGATTAACAAGGCATTTTCCACTCTGGCGAGCCCCATTGATCGAGGTCGCTATCTTCTCCAGCTCCGGGGGGTGAAGGACCCTCTGGGGGACATTGAAAAGGAGATCACCAGCGAGCCTACCTTCCTTGAAGAAGTGATGACCCTAAATGAAAGGCTAGAGGAACTCGAATCAGAAAAAGACTGGCGACACTTTAGAGAGGAAAATGACAAGGTTTTGACGCAATTGCAAAGGTAGTTTTAGTTAAGTTTGGAGATGAGGTTACAATACAAATATAAAGATTTCGATTTGCCATGTGTATCAATGAAAATTTTGTTGCAGTGACCTTAATGTTGCATTCACGGAGAATAAGATTGATGAAGCCAAGATAATTTTGGCAAGAATGAAATATTTCGACACACTTCAAAGCAAATTGAAGGAGCTCAAGTCCAAGCTAAACATTGTGGAATAACTAATCAATAAAATGTATCGGGTTGATGGATTATATTAATTTTGTGACTGAGCATAAACTATCTGTAGTATAGATTCTGTACTGTTAAAATCTATATTTTTGGGTGCAGGAAGTACATCTGAATAAATCTAGTCTAGTCTTTACCAATAATTTTAGCGTCGACAAATTCACTACTTTCAAATCAGTTGGATCCAAGAATATGAAAAACCTCTCAGAATTTCTTGAGTAGCCCGAATATTCATTAGTACATATTTGTATTAGTCCATTATGATACTAAATAGTTGAATATTTTGCTCTAAATCTTGCATTTAGCGTGAATTCTACCGGGTAACTGGCATAAAAATTTTGAAATTCCAACATCTAGTACTTACTGGTCATGAATCGTTTTTAGACGCAAAATTTCAGCTGGATATACATATCAACTTTTAGACTTCTAACCCCTTCGTTATTCGACCCGAAATTGCATAAGCTCAATTGCAATAATAATTTATTCCATGAAAAATGCATCAGTCAAGCTTTTACCAAATTTTAACTGTGTTCTAGCCTTGGAAATACAATGCATATAATTACAGATATATCAATTCTTACTTTAGATTTGAGATTTGCTAGTCAATGGATTTTAATAATAAATAATAATAATACTTATTATCTTCATTCCAATGACTTGAGCACCTAACAATGGGCAACTATGGCGTTCGGGGGAATGTGGGATGAAAAGGTTTCGGAGAGTAATTCTGGCGATGCTGTCAAAACTCCATTGCTTGCCAATGTCAAGGGTCAACCAATCGATTATGATAACCGAAGTAAATTCCCAGAACCAGGAAGGGCCATAATTTGTCCAGTCTTTGTGTCATCCTCATGCACATCACAGTATATCTCAAATTCACGTGATTCACATCTGCTCAATTGTGGTGGCACCAGCAATGGGTGTGTTTTGTTTGTGCTACAAGCAGAATATTATACGCAGCTCTTCTCCGTATTGAAGAGCAGCGAAAGAAGAGTTTACGCTAAATTCTTTTTAAATATTTCAATTCGAATTGTCCAGGCACACCCAAGTTAAGGAGGAGTGTTGCAAGATGGCTGCTTCAAGTGAGGATGCTAGATTTGCTGTCGTCGTCCCTGAAGATCTGGAGAAAGGAGGTAGTTTAATAATCAATTTGTTTTGACATTTCATTTTATTTCACTCACAACTTAACACTTGACCCTAGATTTCAAGACCTTACACACATTTTATACAAATATCGCTTCATTTTCTAATATTTGTATAACTATGTTTAATAGATTTGATGGCAGCAACCAGCCTGTTACAACAGAAAGCTAATGATGTTCGGGCGCAGAGAGTTAACTGGCAATCATATCTACAGTAATAAATTTTGCAAGGGCGTTTCCCAAAAAATATTAAACTCAATTATTCAACATCAACATTTTATTATTATCAAATTAGATGCCAAATGATTTCACAAGAAGATTACAACTTTATTGTCGCTTTTGACGGAGCAAATGGAAAAGCAAAAGACCAACTTTTGGAAGAACAACGTATGCAATGTGCAAAAACATTCCTGAATTTGATGGGGCATGTATCGAAGGACCAGACGATTTACTACATTCTCGTCTTAGTTGATGAAATGCTCATTGTATGATTTTTCAATATCGTGCATGAACTTTAATTTACATCACATTTTAAATTACAAATTTCTTTCATATATTACTCAGGAAGACAAAGGGAGGGCCGAGATATTCAAAGAGTATGCTAGGAAGAAGAAGGAATCAGTGTGGGCACCGTTCCTTAATATGCTAAATCGGCAAGATGGTTTTATTACCAATATGACATCGCGAATACTAGCAAAAATGGCCTGTTGGAGTCGAGATCTGATGGATGGATCTGGTTATTCTTTATTTTATTTTTGTATATACTCTGCTTTGATTTTGGCCTAATTATTTGACTCGTTTTCAGATTTACATTTTTACCTCACGTGGTTAAAGGATCAACTCCGCATTCCCGTAATAGGATGTTTATTACTTATTATTTAATTGGAAATTACAATGCACAAACGTAGATGTGACATTATTTAAATCTGGTCTGTCTTTTGGATTATTATGTGTAGGAAAATGAATATATCCAGTCGGTTGCTCGTTGTCTACAAATGATGTTAAGGATTGATGAATACCGTTTCGCTTTCATAAATGTTGATGGAATCTCCACACTCGTGTCAGTGCTGTCCGGACGCCACAATTTTCAAATTCAATATCAACTTTGCTTTTGCTTATGGGTTCTCACTTTCAATTCAGCTCTAGCTGAAAAAATGAACAAGTTTGTTACTTTTTAATAGTAATCTTAACTTTGCCTTTTGATATATTTAGATTATGAAAATAAATGTATAATTTTACAGATATACGGTCATTCCCATTCTCGCTGACATCCTAAGTGACAGTGTGAAAGAAAAAGTTACCAGAATTGTTGTAGCAGGTTGGCTAGAATTAGAATAATATTTTTAAAGTTGTGAATTTATACATATGTAAGGGAGTCGTGATTTAACACTTAGTTCGTTTCCCCCATAGTTTTCCGTAATCTGATTGAAAAACCTGAAGATGAGCAAATCTGCAAGGAGCACTGCATCGCAATGGTTCAGTCAAAAGTTCTAAAGCACTTAGAGATTCTTCAGCAACGCAAATTTGACGATGAAGATATTCAAGGAGACATTACTTTCCTCAGCGACAAATTAATGGCTTCAATTGTAGATCTTAGCTCATTTGATGAGTATTCTACCGAGATTAAATCAGGCCGATTGGAATGGTCTCCAGTCCACAAGTCTGAAAAGTTTTGGCGTGAAAACGCTTCCAGACTAACAGAAAAGAACTACGAACTATTGAAGATTTTAATTCGGTAAGTGAATTACTCCATGACAAGCTAGAAACTAGTGCTGGATAATTAGAGTATTTATTGGAGGCACACATCTTAATTCAACATTTGTACATAATTATACAATTGGTCAAGATAATTTATATAATAATGCAAAATTTATCAACCGGAAATGCCAAACATTTGTTTATTTGTCAACGTCAATAAAAATACCCAGAGTACTGCAGACTTCAGTTAGCCCGAGTCAGGCCCAGAGTATTTTCCTATTTACCAATCCTCTGCTTGATTCGGATAGGCGTCTGACTATGAGATCACCATTCGGCCCCTTACAAGATTTTTATACATATAATAAAGACATGCCATTTAGAACAAAATAATTTTTCCAATGACATCAACTGTTAACTTAATACAGATTGCTGGAATCTTCAAAGGATCCTACGGTGCTCAGCGTGGCATGCTATGATATTGGCGAATTTGTCCGTCACTATCCCAGAGGAAAAACGTACGTACATATTTAGTACTTTTAATTTTTGCATAATGTGTATAATAGTTAGATTTATTACACTACTTGTTTCAGCATCGGTTCTTTGATTGCGTAAAAGTAATGACTTTTATATTGCATTTTTTAGCGTAATCGAGCAACTTGGAGGGAAGCAAGTGGTTATGACTCTTTTGGGTAAGTCGTTTATTTTCATTAGAGTAGTGATTCACGACTCGTAAATATCAAAAATTGCGTAAAAAAGTGAGGGTTAAAATTGCATGCTGCTTATTATGTATTAACAATTAAATTAAATCACATTTGTTTTCTCCCATATTTTTAGCCCATCAAGACACTAACGTTAGATATGAAGCTCTGTTGTCTGTCCAAAAACTCATGGTTCATAATTGGTACCTAACTAATCACTTTACATAGTTATATTGCATGACATGGTCAGGATTGATTTTTTATATACTTTCATAGGGAGTATTTGGGTAAAAAATTGGAACAAGAGACCAAAGTACCTGCAAAAGCGTCCGCGTAAATATCTGAAAATTGTAATGGGATCGGATGAAGATTAGACATGAGAGTTTCTCCACCATTATTAATAACTAAATTGCAGAGTCCGGCTGGTCAATGGTGTACTTGTTGTAGTGCTAAATAGTTTGATTGGTGATGGTGATAAGAATATAATATTAACTGATTTCAGTAATTTCCAACAAGTTTTCAACATTCCAACAGTGTTTTTCAGTGCAATTCCGTTTCAAATGTAGAAAAGCTAGTCCCAGATTAATTTACGACTAGAACAAGGACATTAAATCATTTAGTCATTTGTTTTTGTAGTAGTAAGAATAAGATTTATTTGTTCAGAAATTGTTCAGCGTTAAATAAAAAGTATTTTGAAAGAGATAATAATAAGGAATGTTTTCGTTACAGTGCGATTATGCTGTTGACTAGAATCATAAAAATCACATATTTCACGGACTTTCGTTAAAACACACAGAGCTGAGGTGTTTACATAACATTGACAATAAAAGTTATTGACGTTAATCAGAATTAAGTAAGTATGCATAACAAATTAAAACTTTGCATTGCTTTAAAAATATTGCTATGAACTAATAACAATTTAAGAGAGCAATTCGTACTAAAACTAGCTCGGTTCAGTCAAATGAAAAGGGTTCCGCACTACCTATTTTGTTCATGGTGTATTCAAGTCTTCACTCTTCTCGAATTTTTCAAAATTCCATTACGAATTCCATTTCCGGTTAAAGGTAACATGAGCAAGCTGCCATTTTTAGATTTTGACCTTTTAGAATGGGTTTCAAAGAGAATATCCGAGTCACTGTCCTCGGATTCTGCATCATCTTCATCTATGTAGATACATGCATAAAAATTGAGGGCTTTAACATTAAATTATGTTACAAATTATCTCTGAGTTAACCTTCTTGAGTACGTAATTCCAATTCTTCATCGTCATCGTCCAAAAGTGTATACTGTTTCTTATTGGCGTGATAAGAGCGTTTCCCATTACTTGGACTGCTGGAAGAATTAGTATTTTGGTTTTCTTTTAAGGCTTTAAAGTTTCTTCGGAAAATAAACGAAAGACTCCACATCAACGCAAACATCATAGTAAGTAGCAGAGATACAACTACTCCCACATAAATTTTACTCCATTCTGTAATGAATCAAATTCAAAATCACATCACTCTATTCAAGAATAGCGTGACATTTTTTAAACATAAACAATTATTTCCATTTAATTTCTACAAACCACAATTTCGTTCCTTGTTCCCAAATTTTCTCTTGAGAATATTTTCCATCCAGAACGCACTACAAACACATTCTCTGCCATCTGGAGTATCCTGACAAGTCCCGTGATTTGAGCAGCTATCCAAGCACAGTTTGGTATCTATCGAATATATTGGAAATTGCAACAGTCCAGCATCTTGATATAAACGTCGCCTTAATTGTCCTGCAAGTTGTGAGCCGTTGACAATCTCTCCTAATTTTGATTCCCCGTGTAGTTGCAGCACAGCATTTCCTACACAGAAAGGATAATACTTGTAATTTTACATTCCAAAGTCAACACCACTTTACCTATTTATTATTTGTGAAACCGTAATTACATATGTAACGTACCAGAGTGAAGCTGAGCTTGAATATGATTTAGAAGCAACTTTGTGTCATGTAAGAGTAATGCTAACTGAAGAATCACTTTATTCTTATCAGATTCCGTGAGTTGATTAAGTTGAACTCCTAGAAGTGAGCATAGGTTTGGTAAGTAGGTTGTTTGTTTTTACTGATAATTGATTGTATGGTGCTGTGTTTTAAATAAATAAATAATTTCTTACCTAGCACTACTTCGACTAATTCACGTTCATGAGATTCTTTGAGATAAATAAAATAAATAATGCATACAGCTTTAATTCTTCCAAATATCAGTAGTACAAATTTATACAAACCTCCTGCAACGGTTAAAATAGCAACGTCTTCGTCTGCAGTCCCTTGTTCGTCTTTCACGGTCAACTTGAACATATATTTTCCAGGAACCAGATCCGTGAGCTAGAGATAATTTTGTTTAGCACAAACAACGAACTAAGAATATGCATGTACAAGTACATACTGAAAGATTACTAATTTCAAATAGCATGAATGTAACACACTCCAAGACAAAAAAATATGCATAAAAGTTTAATAACGATACCTGCAAAATTGATGCAGTATCTGAACCCTGCAATATTACACCAGCAGCCAAGGAATCGGGTAGCCTTTCCCATGCCCAACTGACAATTTTAACGTCATCACTTGAAGCAGATCCGTTGAGTAGAACAAGGGATTTTGGAAGCTTGACATCAATGTTGCCACCAGCATTTGCATGAGGAGGTTCGTTGACACGTTGGATAACGTTGATTTTGACCGTACTGTTTCCTTGTAGTTTCGACTCATCTTCAACAACCAGAAGAAATTCGTATTCTCCTTTGGTTAAGCTGGACACGTTAACTCTGATGCCATTTTCTATCATTGATATTGTCGCATTATTCGGACCCCTATGGTATTAATTAATTAATTGTGATTAATAACATTGCGCATGCACTATTATTCATTACATCAAATGTTTCCTCTTTTAAAGTATAGTAAAATTACCTTATCTGCGACCAGTTGTATTGTGTTATTTTATTGCTATCGGACTTGCTTTTGGAACCGTCTGCATAGAAAAAAGCTCGTTACAATTAACATAAAATGTATAGATTGATTTTATGTCCATCAAGGATTTGACCCTCTCAGATTCTTACCAAGTATGAGCCAATTTTGCTTGTTCAAAACTGTTGTTTGGTCAGACCCGGCGTCAGCTACATAGCATAGTAATAACATTCGTAATCATGTGTACATAAGTAATTAGCATACGATCAGTTAAACTTCTATATCCATATCATACAATACCTACATATGATTTATAATCAGTGGCGGCGGAAGCAGGGGGACATTTTCTCCGCAGAAATTCATACCAATCCTATCTTGCATATGTTAATGTATCCAGATGTCCCCCCAACTTCCCCCGCCATTTTGTATCGTTATAAATTATACATTGGTTAACAAATTCAGTTCTAACCTTTTGGTGGGTTTCCTGTGGCCTCTTTTACCACGACATGCACTGTAGCGGAACTAAATTGTCCCCCTTCGTCTGTCACTTTAAGTTCAAATTGGTATAGCCCCACTTGAAATTGAAATAAAAAGTAGTTTAGAAAACTTGGAAGTGATAAAAAACAAGGAATATTCACATTTACCCTGCAAGTGAGACACCTTGAGGTATGGCGTGTGAGAATCCTGCATATCAATTGCTTTCGTCTGTTCTCCAGTTGCTTTCCATTCCCAGTCCACAATTTTTTTGTCATCTGTGGAGGCATTGCCGTTGAGCACGACGGCAGTCTGAGGCAGATAAATGACGATATCTTTGCCTGGATTCGCACTGGGTGGATAATCTGGTTCCTTAATCACGGTTATATTAGCAGTCGTTGAATTTATAACATGTTCACTGTCCTCAACGATAAGCTTGAATGTGTAATTTCCAGGAATTAGATTTTCCACTTGCAAGGTAGAAGAGTTAAGACTTTTGGATGGATTTAGGGTGTATAAAATTGGCCCTTTCTAAATTATAAAATTTCCAGGCCATTATTTATTACTATTCGAGACCCCGATTTAATAATAGAGTTTATTACCCCTAGTTCCCATTTATATGAAATAATTTTGTCATCATCAGTAGACAAACTTGCATCCAGCACTGCACTGCTCGTCGGCAACTGAATTGTCTGTTCTGTTGAATACAGTACAATGCATTCAGTCAAGTATAAATTCAAGGGATACCGAAAGACATTGATTTTATACGTTAATGTCCATCACTTACCTTGAGGAGATATAATGGCAATTGGAGCCTGGTTTGTACCGGCTGAACGTTCGACGTTAATGGTCGCATTAGCCGAACCATTTGATTGTAAGTTACTGGCTGTCATTTGAAAAACATACTTCCCTTCTTTGAAACCTGTCAACCGCAATGTGTCAGTCTGTTGAAAATATTTATGGTTTTAATGCTTACTTATAAGTACAAATATCCAGAAACAACATGAATACATTGTTAATGTATTTATAGATTTTCTTACTGTTTGGCCCTCTACGGTTGCAGTATCGTCTGCTGGGTTAGATATAAGGGTCCATTTATACGAATATGGGTGATCTAAGTTAAGTAGTCACTGATTAAATAAGTTGACAAGAACGCTAATACATACGATGATAAATTAAAACCTGCAGGGGCTTGAGGAACGACGTATGCAGATAAACTAACTTCATTCTCAGGAAGGGTAACATTTTTGGAATTGACAGACACCGTAAGTTCAATCGGAGGGGCAACCGTTGTAGTTGTAGTAGTACTCGTTGTAGTCGTCGTAATTTCAGAAGTCTTAATCGTTACTGTAAATTTTTTAAACCAAATAATTTTATAACATTAGTAATTTAATTTATTATGTACGTGTATTTAAAAACAAACTGCGCAATATTACCGTTATCACTCTCCAACAAGCACTCTTTCTTATCCGTGTCGAAATAAAATCCACTTTCGCAAACACAGATTCCATTTCGTGATCTGTGATTCGTCGGGATGCATTTTTGATGTGCTTTACAAGCAGTTTCTGTACCCACTTCGCAAGTTATTCCCGACAATGGTGTAGATTTCGGAACTCGTACCAATACCATTGCAAAATCCGTGGTTGTAGCCAATTCGGCAAATAAATTTGGGGCACACAAGTAACTGCCATACACACAGTTCAGCTAAAGTTCCAAAAGCGTATAGATAAGTTATTTAGACATTATTTAGAAATTAATGAACCCATGACCGTTTGACACCTACCAAGTAGCAGGTAACGTTAACAGTGAATGCGTAGTGACAGGTATTATCTAAACAACAACTTTTGGCACATTCATCAGGAGTAGTGACATTCTTAACTTCTGTATAGTCGCCTGCTGCTTTTTGACCCTTTTGACAGTAAATATGCAGATATATTATATATTATTAAATAATACTGAATTTTTTAAATGATTACCCGTGGTGCATAATGTCTCCAGATCTTCATCTCAAAATTAGGACATGTTGCTTTTATGCTGTTGGCTATTGTCCAGTTTACACAACCTAGAAATTCACCATCATATAATTACTATTTCGAAAATTCATTATTTAGTAACTCGTATTTGTAATACAAATACAAATTTTGTATGTAATCCGAGATTACCAAAATCTGCTTCTGGTGTACAAGAAGCTTCTGTTGATGGATCATTGCTGACTCCTTGCATGGTAGAAACAGTTGCAAGGCTGTTGTTTGGCACTCCTGGTGTTTGGTTGCTTATCGTGATGGGTGGCAAAAGTATCACTGCCACCCAGAACAGCGTCACGGTTCTACCTGCCCCCCAACAGCATTGCTCGTCTGCACACCTTCGCATTAACATTGTTCCAAAACTAATGTATCCCTTTCCTCACTGGTTTTTTCCTCGAAAAACCCCACATAACAGAGTTCTTGGAAGTCGTCTCGATCTAAAATGTAATAATAATTTGTTATGCTTAAATTGCACTTTAGTCAGTCTCAATTAAATATAATATATATCATACTTTTTACCTCTAGCGTAGAATTTGTAATGTTTATCTTTTAATTTTAATTTTTTTTTATTAAATTTGGAATATATAGAATCACACTCTGTTGACGATCATCGGATACAATTTACCAGTCTTTTTAAAAGAGAAGGACTTATCAACAAAAATTATAAACTTATTTTTACACACTTCGTTTGATCTCGGGAAATGATTCAAAAGAATTTCAGAACTTCGGAAAGTAAGAGATGAGGCAAGTTGAGACGACTTGTCCTCGAGGGAACAACTTGGAAATTCTCGGCTTGGGTTTTTTAATGACGTCGGAAATAATTAATTGTGTAAATTCATCGTTTGTTAAGATAACCAAACCTCCTCGAACTGAAAGGAAACTCAATTACCTCATCGATCTTGCTGTAACTGTTTATCATCATCAATGAAATTTGTAAGTCGTTACAATTTTATCTTTCGTGATACTCTTTTTAGCTTTTTAGTTGTTCATCATATTACTCACATGATTGCATTCGATTTAAATTGTTCGAGTTCTAGAGTAGAGCTCTATTTGTAGCAAGAAAAAATACTCTCTATTTTTGAGAAAATAGAGTTTATAGAAGTACAAGTAGCTCTACTCTTTGGATTTGGATTTTGGATCGCCGTTGATCATTATCATTCATTAAATGAATTTCATTTGTCATTAACTTATGCATTCATAGTTAATTATTAATCATCACCAACTTAATTTTACTGTTGTCAGTATTTTCATGCATCAAATACATAGACGCACATAAGTAATTTCATGATTTCCATACTGCATATTTATATATATAATATTTAATAATATTTCGAATTTTACAAACAAATTAACCGACCCTTCATGAAATTTACGGTTGGTAAATGGTAACATGAAGATTTGGTTGGTGGACTGATGATAAGGGACGATGGTTGGCTGTTTCAGTATAATTTAGGAACATGTTCGAAGCCGTGTGGGATTCTGCGATGGCGGGGGCTGACCATCATGCTCGACTGTTCCTTGGATATCTCCACCGTCCTCAACTACCTCCCCCTCCCCCTCTCTGGCAACTCCAAGTTTAACTTCGTCCCACGATTCCAAAACTACTCGGCCAATTTCGAAAAAGTGATCCACCAAACAACATTGTTCAATAATTATTATGCAAATTATGTCTCAAAATTAAGAGCTTGATAATATTTTGACGGCAGGAATTATGCGAGATAAATAATTATGTCATGGTGGATTCCGCACCACTACTCGGCGTACGTGTTTTTATTTAGTTATTTAATACCTATTATTTAGTCATATAAAAATATGTGAATACATATTATTTCACACAGGTCCCACATGAATCCTCAATAGATATTTCGGAAATTGATGTCATTTTGATATCCAACTCGTCATCAATTTTGGCACTACCATTCTTCACGGAACATCCAGATTTCAATGGAAATGTGTATGCAACAGGTTGGTTATCATCTCAACATGTGTTTTCCAAATGCTGGTACAAAGACTTTGTTGTTTTTGTTATAGAGCCCACAGTTAATATTGGAAAGTTTTTCATGGAAGAGCTGGTGGAATTTGTGCAAAATGTTCCAAAGCCGCGAGCATCTTTGTCAAAAGAAGCAGATGGAGAAAACATTTACAAAATGCTGGAGTCCTCTCTAAACTTTCCGATTAAGCTGGGCAAAAATTCATTTAATCGAAACCTGAGGGAGATTTACTCAAAGAAGAGCATTAGCGACGCGCTACTAAAAATTCAGGTTGTAGGATTTAATGAAAACATTGTAAGTCGTCCATTGATCTTGATTTAAGATAGTAATTATTCTGTGTGCAAATGCAATGTTTTAGTATTGTACCCATTTCCAATTTGTTGAACAGGATATATTTGGAAAAGTTGTGGCTACAGCTGTAAGTTCAGGATACTCATTGGGAAGTTGTAATTGGATTCTGAAATCTGAGAAAAATAAAATTGTTTATGTCACATCGTCTTCTACTCTGACAACACATCCGAGGTATGCTTATCATATAATAGTAGTTCTAGAATGCAGGTGCACTGTTTAAGTGCTATTTTTTTTAGTCCGATGGAACAATCCCTTCTAAAAGACGCGAACGTATTCTTTCTTAATGGACTAACTCAAGCACCGAGTTATAATCCGGATACCATGATGGGGGAAGTTTGCATGACTGTAAGTAGTTGTGTAATATAAAGTAATAAGGATACAAAACCATACTGATACTTACTGACTTTGAATTATAGGTTGTTAATACGCTACGTTCTGGAGGAAATGTAATTTTCCCATGTTATCCAAGTGGCATTGTATACGATCTTTTTGAGTGCCTCACAACTCATCTGGACTCTGCTGGTTATGGAAATTTTCCTTTCTACTTTATTTCTCCGCACGCTGAAACATCACTGGCCTATTCTAACATTCTTGCCGAATGGTATGCAAGATTTTTTGTCCATGCTGCATAGCATGCATCATTATTTAATCCCTCTACAATTCACCTTAGGTTATCCAATACTAAACAGAGGAAAGTTTACATTCCGGAGGATCCTTTTCCTCATGCCCAACTTGTTAAGGATGGTCGCCTAAAGCACTACAAAGCCCTTCACGATATAAGTGAAGTCCGACAACCTTCAATTTTATTTTGTGGGCATCCCAGCCTGAGGTTTGGAGATATCACGCACTTGATTGAAACGTGGGGTTCTAATCACAATAACACAATTATTTTCACTGGTACTGCATGCTTTTACAATTTCAAGCATTCGATATGATTTACTCGCACAATTTATTTGTTTAATTCATTTGGATATTATTTACTCCACAGAGGCTGAATTTTCTCATCTGGAATGCTTAATTCCATATCAGCCTTTGGCAATGAAGACGGTCTACTGCCCCATTGACACGTCACTAAACTTTCACCAAGCAAATAAACTAATAAAGGAGTTGAAACCTCGTCTTCTAGTTACACACGAAGAATATTTGTCACCACCGAGAACTAATCCTCACCGGACTGAGTTTACAATTGACTACTCACACACTGAAAAAATATCAACTGGATCAGTATTAAATATCAAATTGAAGAATACTTTTGCTTGTGCAAAAATGGACCCCCTATTGGCAAGTGAATTGCAACCTTATGTAAAGGACGATAAAGGCATGGCTGCGTCTACGATTACTGCCGGAATTGAAAAAATGAACAACAAGTATCGATTGTTAAAGGTTTGTTTATGACTTTGGAACTTTCTTATACATATGTTTGTCATTTGACCGTTTTTGGCTATAATTTATTGTATCTATACCTATGTTATACCTATTTTAAAAACAACAGCCCTGCATGGATTTGTGTGATCCATACAAGTGCCCTCCTGAAAAGTACACATGGGGCTCATTAGACTCTGCAATTGTAATGCACAAACTAGTACAAGAAGGATTTAACCAGGCAAAGATTGTACATACGGCAACTGGATTCGTTATAAATATTGTAAGTATATATTCTTCTTTGACTTGACGAATTTGAATTTAATTCGACGAATTCCATGATTTGATTTCCGTATTTTTATTTAGCCCAATGAAGACGTCGTGATTTCTGTGGAACCATCCTCCACGCACATAGTATGCGGGAGTGGGGGCGATGGATCATCAAGAACACGATTGAAACGCTTACTGACTTCCTGTCTTACTGAATTTTAAGTCATTTACATTTTCTTGAATTAGAAAACGTTGTTGCAATTATTATTTGTAAATTAATATTAAATGCAATAAAATATTACATTTTATACCCCTAAATAGAAACCTATAAAATGCCGACTTTTTATTTATGGGATATCTGAGTTTGCCCTTGTTTGCATTATTATTATTTTGTATTATTACTATATGTTAGTTTCATCAATAACAATAACAACTTAATGAGGCTATCATTTTCAGGATCTCTGTTAATAAGGAACTAAGATGTCTGTCGTACCGTGCAGATTCTTCGGGACTCCAAATGGATGTCGATACGGGGACAATTGCAAATTTTATCACGCTGTAGGAAACAATCTTGGTATTTTTGCAAAAGCACTAAAATTATATTCAATACATTATCCAGAGAAACTTCTCTTAACTTAATTACCTACTTTTATAGGTTCATTTGGTGGAAGAAGTTTCAACACTGGAGGATTGGGTCAAAATCAACAGGATGTTCTCAATCTTGCAGCAAAATCTCAGCAGAATATGGATGCAATGATGTTAGTCAAGTATTATATTATTGGTAACCATTTGTCAATTTATTGTCTTTGATTATTACAGTGATATGGTGAAACGAGACATGATTGAATGGGAACAAGGTCATATATATCCATTCAGTTGCTACGGCCCGGCTGGAAAGCCTAGTCTTCCCGGTTTCGAAGAAATTTGTCCGGACGAACTACGCTATCGATTTTATATGTTGAATAACAAATTACCTTTGGATCTGAGTAAAGAAATATCAACAATGCAGCAAACTAGGATGCAATATCAACAAATTTCACCTGCAGTTAGGAATATTTTGGTATGAACAATATACGAGAGACATATAATTTGAAGAAGTTAAAATAATTGTGCCCAGCATCTCACCATTCTGACTTAATTTTCAATAAATTCAACTACTCAGGGTACCGTTAATAATGATTTTCAAATATTTTTAGGAAAGGGTGATTGTAAGAGGTGAAAGAATTTCTTCTACTGATATGGGAGCATCTTCAACACAAAACCCATTCGGAGGAGGGTTGATAGCTGCAAATCCTTTTGCGAGCAACGCCATGACTCAACAAACACCTAATGTATTTGGTCCACCTTCGTCTGGAGGAAATTTATTTGGAGAAGGGGTATCAATTACAGGCCAACCTTCAGGAATATTTGGAGCGGCCCCAATGACACAGACATCCAATATATTTGGTGGAAATTCGACTTCTAATATTCCTCCATCTTCTAGCATATTCGGTTCCCCTCAACCAATTGCTAGTAGTGGACAAACGACAAATTTGTTTGGAAATCAAGCACCTTCTCTTTTTGGTGGGACAGTTCAGCCGCAGGTCCCGTCTGCGTCATCATTATTTGGAGGGGCGGTGTCCAATCCGGTTGTGGGACAACAACAAAGCCTTTTTGGCGGAAGTGCCACGAATGGCGGTGGTTTATTCGGAACCATTACCCCAGCGGTATCTACCGCTGGTACTTCTCCATTTGGTGTCGTCACACAAAATGTTTTTGGAGCAACTTCTCAATCGTCAAACTTATTTTCACAAACGTCACCATCTGTGATTCAATCATCTGGATTATTTTCGTCTGTACCAAAATCAAATGTATTTGGTAATTCTACGGCAAATCAAAATCTGGGAGCTCCAGGTCAAAATTCTATATTCGGACAACCACCTTCCCAAAGCCAGTTTCAGTCACCGACCCTGCAAGGGCTGTTAACAGGACAGCCACTGCCAAATCCACAGCAGAACATATTATTCGGAAATGTGGGGTCACAACCTTTTGTTCAACCTCAACAACAAAGTGGACTACCTCCTTCTGGAAGTTTCTTTAGTTCCTCATCAACACCTCAAATTGGCTTTGGCGGTGGACAATCATCGCTAGTGCAACCCACTCAACCCTCGTCACTCTTTGGCACCCCCTCCATCCCCAATGTACAACCTGGATTTACTTTAGGAAATCAGCCATCAATTCTTGGTACTCCACCACCGAGTATAAGCGCACTTCCCAGCACGACTCCGGGTACTAAATTTGTTTACACAGACGAAGCAGATTTAACTGAAGAAGAACTTGCAGCCTTCCGAGCTCCGAATTTTACTCTGGATAATATTCCAACAAGACCACCACCTTTATCTTTATGTGGAGTGTAAATTTGACATACTATTCTGTTTTTACAATACGATAGGTTGTAAAAACAAATTTTAAGCTATTTATATCAAGAAAACATACATGATAACTGCTATCCTCTATGTACTAAGTTGTTAAATACTCGATGCGTCGCTTACTTGATATTTAAATAAAAGCATAAATGACATGAATATTTATTAAACTATAAATACAGATATGAACGGATGTGTAGCTAAATTATCGTTGTATGTATGCTTATCCTAAGTACACGTATGTAGATTGTAGAGCATGACCATTACAGCCTTTTGGGATGCCGAGAAATGTTTTACGTTTCAATAAATGTTGAATTGTAAGGGGCCACGATGACATCGTTTTGACCAAGGTTGCTTGACAACTTTAGTAATAATTACAATTATGTATTATGATAAAGTGTCAAGCAACCTTGCGTTTTGACATCGTTTCTACGATGTGTCAAGCAATCGTACACCAACATTGGGTTTACTCTGCTCCCCAAGCCAACTAATATTTATTATAAAATTTCCGAATAAATTTTATTTAGGAATAAATATTGAGCCCGATTTCATACATCACACCAAAATTAGTTAAAATTAAAGTGCATAGATATTAATAATAACCCCATTCCGATTCTTTCATTGACTGGGATTGCCCAGCAACTTTGCCCGTGCATTCTCTCTGCCCATTACTGACTGAGTATCTGAATTCGACTGTTTGATCAATTCTTGGTGAAAGTTGTCCTGGGTTGGGTTCAGACGGTTCCCTTTCACTGAACTACACCAACTTTCTCGTAGCAAGCAGCTCCTCGGCCTCCTCCTCCTGTGGAATTAGTCCAAGCTTACCAAAAATTACGCCTTTTTGAATGGAGGAAGAGGTCAAAGGAGATCACCCACCGGCCAATCTTGAAGATGCTGTTGTTGAATTTACCAAGGCTCGAGTTCAGCGGATTGCAGAGAGGAGAGCCAGGATTGCAGAGAAAATCACAGCCAGGTACACATTTCGTCCTTATTGTTACTTATTAAATTAGTAACTCACTTATTGGTAAATTCCAGAAAAAATGCGGAAGGTCTGGGCGAAGTTGCTTCAGTGGCATCGTCCATGGAGCTCCTTGTAGAAGATGAAAAGCCGAATACTGCTGACGCTGGTGGTGACAAGAGTGGACATGGTCACTCTAAAAAGCTACAACATGAGAAGATTGAAAAGGATGAAGTGAAAAAGAATCAGAGTGCTGTCGAACAATTAGATCAACAGATTGAGGAGAGTAGGAAACAATTGGAGCAAATGATTCTGGATGGTGAAGTTTTGGTATAGCTTTAACATGTAGGAAACCATATAACAGTTTGCATGAATACTGACCCTTTAAATCCCGTAATAATCAGATAACAAATGTAAAAGTGGCGGCCGAGTATCGTGAGAAAGTTCGTCAGAAAAAGCAGGAAGAAAGTCGAAAAGAGAACTTAAAAAGACTTCGGCAAGAAGCAGAGGAAAGTCAAGCCATGTATGACGCTTTGGCTTCAAACTGGGCCATGAAAGCGGAAAAAATGCTTCCAATGGAGCTGTACAAACAGGTGAATGTCATGTCGTAAATATGCATTCTACATATACACAATTCAGATGTTATCTACATGCATATCATTATTCTCTATATGTACATTCATTCAATTATTAGATGAAATCTCAACAAGAATCCTGCGATGAACTTCTCACCAAAAAAGATGACTTGATAATATTTCTTCGTCGAGAGATGGACGAGAATGATTTTGATTATGAGGGGAGTTTAGAAAAATACCAGAAAGACAGTATGCTCATGGGAGATCGGATTGATGACCTTGTAGACGAATTGAGAACAGCATTCATCGAGGAGCTCAATCTGATTGAGGATTACACTTGCAAAAATAGAGAAGTGCTTTTGGAAGACAATCAAAATGAATGGATGGATCTACTTCAACACTTTGAACTGATGGAGCAAAAGAATTTGGATGAGAGAAAGTCGGATGCACTCGCCAAGTTTCAGATTCTTAATGACCATTTCACGTCGACGAAACAGGAAGCGAGGCAGCTGCGACACAAGATGGAGGACGACCTTCGGGTCCTAATTCAAGAACGGGAGCAGATTAAGTATGCCTGTCACCTCAATTTAGAAAAGGTTACCTATAACTTACACGTACTTAAGTGTCGGTCCAAGGAAAATGTAGAGCTGAAAAATAGAATGAAACGGCTTTTACTGCAACTTCATGATAAATTTGATACAAAAGCAGCCAGTCTTAAAAAGAAAATGGACATGGGAAAGAAACACACGGAGAAATTGACAAAGGAAATTCTGCGATTGGAATCTCAAGTAGATTCATTTGGGCAGAAAACTTTACATATTGGTTTACTTGATCATAGAAAGTTTATCGATTTATGGGAAGCTAATGAAGAACTTATTCGGGACAAAGTAAAAAGCTTGCTAGACAGCGATAAATTTGTGTATGAAACGCAGTTGGGTGTGGAATATGCTCTGCCTGATATTTCTTCAGTTTTTGAATCTAGACCAATTGAGATTAACAGCAGTTTGCGAAAAAAGGTTCACAGCATTGTTGATAAACGTGGGTACATACATAACTATAGTTGGGTTTGAAGCTGTTAAAACTCATCAACTAATTATTGAACATTTATATCGATGCAGAAAACGTAAAAAGTAATAAGGAATCAAAAGGCCAATTAAAGGAGAATTCAGAGGATGAAGATGACGAGAATTCCTCCATTGGAGTTGATAAAACTATAACAAAAACAGACGATGTCCAGTTGGCTTGCAATAATGAGAATCCCAGTCTCATCATTATGCCAACATCATCTCTGGTAAAACTTTACACGAATATAATTATTGTACATAGGTATTGCTTAGTCGTATACGTATACCTCTTAACAATGTGTTGCCCTAAAATCCAACAGGAATTTATCCCTGGTCCTGACCCTGACCCAGTGATCCAACGTCGTCTCATGAAAGGAATCGCAAAAGTAATTTGTAATCAAAGTGGATTCATTGTCGAAGAAGAGTTACAAAGAATTTTGGAACCTTTGTTGGAGACGGAGAGAAATTTAGTCAACCTGGATGCAGTTTTACAGGTTGGCTGGATTAATTTAAATGTTTATTTCAATTATTAGCCATTGATATGGGACAAGCATACATAGATACATACAAACGCATGTTGCTCCACTCTGTACCGCATTCTAACTTACAGTGTTTTATGTGGCATTGTTACACCAGGCCTTAGGTATAACCACCGTCGAAGAGATGCAGAGTTTGTCTCGATATATGTTGCGGTATTGCAAAGTGATGAGGGGAGTCATGTCTGCGGTAGGTGATGATTATTCTTTATAGTTTAGATAATTTTTAAATCACTTCGGGAGGAATCTAAAATGAGACATTGTATCAAACTTTATTAGTTTGGTTCAGACGTGTCTGCTGGGATGGCTGAGATGAATGTGAGCATGACGGGAGTCATCGGAAAAGCTGCTTATCTGGACACTGGCTCTGATGGTACATCAGAACATTCTCTCAGAAACATTTCCGAGCTCACAGATTCCGACTCTAAGGAGTGTGGTATTATTGATCCTGCAACTTATTGCGACTGCAAAACTGCAAAAGCACAGGCAAGGGAAGAGGCGGAACGAAAAAAGAAAGCAAAACTTAAGAAAGTCCGAGCCAAAAAATCTCGCGTCAACAGGGATGACGACCGAAGGGAAACGATGCTCTCCAGAGCGTCGGCTTACAGCAACTTGCAAATGGAGCAAGTTCCCTGTGATGTGGTATGTTGCAGCCCTTCTTCCCCTGGGGGATCAATTCTGGAAATAATTAATGCTGCCGAATCTGACAAAGAACTGGAAGAAATTTTGGATAGTTTGGATACAGAACAAGAAGAAGGGGAAAAATCTATCGAACGAGGACCATCCCAAGATTCAGTGGTTGATTGCTCATTGTAATTATCTGAATTTTATTTTTAGTCTTTTAGTTTACAAACATTAGGGTTGCATTTCTCATTCATTCTGAAACAGGAAAACCAGCAAAGCAACTGTCCTCAGTTGGCTAGAGTCTGTTGATCGAGTAAAGATGATTGAAGATTTGAACACCTTCAATGACGAGATAGGTCAGAGGTGCGACGAAATGTTTGAAGAGGAGAAAGTTAAGCAACTGCAAAGGGAAAAACTTGCAGAGGACAAGAAAGCAAGGGCTAAAGCCTATAGGGAGGAGGAACAGGAGGGTGAGGAGGAAGGCGAGGAGGAGGAGGAGGAAGAAGAGGAAGAGGAAACCGCAGATGATTACGAGGGAGATGAGGAAAGTAACAAAACAGACGTCGAAAGCGGAATCGACCAATGTCCTACCCAACCACGACCGCGACGGTTGACGGCTGAGGAGAAAAGGGACCAAGAGAAAGCCGGAATACTGACACTTGCTGTCATTCAGTCATCAGTTGTCGTCACTAAAGAACAAGACTCTGACATTGCCTCTGAACATGACTCGAGAACAATTTCAATCCATTCCTTTGACAGCTTCACAGATTCGAGTGACAATTTTCTCTATATTGACCCACAAGATGTGATTACAGCTCTCAAAAATTTTATCGAAGATTACAACAACAGAAAAAAAGTGTAAAGTCCATATTTGACGTCATCATCATGTCTTGTTCCCAATCCTATTTTTGCTTGGTCGAAACTTTGTCGTGATAATTACGATAAACCAAGTAATAGAAAAACCGGATTGGGAGTACGACATGAAGTATGAAAGAAGCTTTAGTTATGTTTATTTATTTTCTTATCTTTAGTTTTACATTATACATTACGACGAATGAACATGTTGCATGCTACATAATTCATTGACTATAATGAATAGTGGGATAATTTTTTGTCATATTTAGTGTTGTTCCAACCCTTGAAGAAATTACGAGCAAAAAGTTGGCAAGGATAAAGTACCCAATGTACATGCAGGTGGCCCAATATTGGGAAAAAATTATGACATTATTAAATCCAAAAGGGAAGGATTTATGGGACACCGTTCAAAATTGTTTCGATGAATACAATAAGATTTTAAAAGGTAGTCACTATCTCAATAATGCCTTACTCATGAGCCTATCCTAGTGAATTTTGTGTATTTAATAAATTTTGCAGAGAGAAATGAACATGTACTCGAGATTCAAAAATATTACCAAAACAATTACGAATTGGGTCATTTGTTGCAAAAATATTTTCAAACCTCTCGTTCCTCGCGACAGCCCGAGTCCAGTCAATGGAACGCAAGCAACATGAATTATTGCTAACCTGTGGAATAAACTTTATGACAATTAATTAGTTAACGTGATGAATAAAACGGATTAATTGAGAAATTTGAGATTATGGTTGAAATTGAAAGATTATTAAATTTTTGACTTTAAAAATTCCAAACAACTTAATTTGATTTATTGATTCAGCCAAATATCATAGGATTACTGTATATACTGTATTTATGTATACGTATATGTACATAAATGTGTACCTTATATATACGTCTCGTTGACATGCACGGAGTGACGGTTTAAAATAATTGGTTCCGCTTGGAGATTTCATTCAAGGTATTTGCCAAAAAATCAAAGTTACTAGCAAACAAAAAATACCAAATCATCCGAATCTACCACGAGATGAACTGCAAGAACATATCGAATTTTCTTTAGTTGAACCTTGGAATTCTGGACTCAAAATCCAACCGGATAACCAGGAGAGTGTTGGCTGTACCACTTGATAACAAATACCATTTTTGGTGTCATGCATGTGATGTGATTTAGTGTGCTTGGAATTATGACAATTTTTTATGCTTACCACATCCAGTAAACGAACAAGAATGAGTAAGCTGGTGACAAAAGATGATGTGAAAAGTAGTGTTGACCAACTAGCACTTATATTTTACCTAGCACAACCATCCTTATATTTTATCACCGCAAGCCCATTATCACTTTTACGCCTTGATTACCATGAAAAAACAGCATTATTCTCGACCAATACCATTGATCTCAAGAGATAATATTGTCTTAACTGCATCTCATGAATGGTCCAGTCCAGTAACATCTCTCCTTCAAAAATCCTTCAAACTCTCGTTTTAGCCTGAGTCAGGGCTTATGGGATTATTATGTCTGTCTGTCTGTGACGCACTAGCGAACGAACCACTCAACCGATTTTTACTAACTTATAGTCTTAAAATACGTATCTGTCAAAGGTAATGAGTTAAAGATGGGCATGATGGGCGCAGTGGTTGACCGGTCATATACATAAATGGTAGGGGTACATAAATAGCACTAAATTTATAACTCATCGTAGAAATTTGGAACTTGACAATATGGTGCAGGTGCACATTAGGTTAAAGAATATGGTATGAAGTCAAATTAAAAATATTTTCGCCAGAGGGAAGCAACATTGTGATCCACACTGGTTTTTGAACTTGGTTAGAAATTTGTCATGAAGGTGCGTAATCATCGCAGATTTACGAATGTGAAGTAAATTTCTAGAAATTTTGTACCAAGAGGACAAAACGGGTGACCCACAACAGCTTTATTAAAGTGGCATAAAAGAGCAGAGATTTTTCATGCCGGATATATGAGAAAATAGATTATGATTATGGATTCCTATCCCATGTCTCATGTTTATGACAATTTTTCAGGTGAGATCGTTTAATTTAATTTAACACAATTAAATATTAGTAGTTAAGTCATCTGAACATGACTCGGGCTAAATGAAGTCTGTGCTTTAAGGTTTTTCTGTATATAAAGCAATCTCTAGAATCCAGAGTTTGCAGAGTCTTGAGAAATTGACACCTGGAATAACAGTAAAACATAATTCTATTATGAAATTTACCGTCGTGATTGTTCTCGGCATCTTAGCCACGGCTTTAGCCCAAGATTTCAATGGTATTTTTTTTACTTGGTCATAAGAAGTTGTCACATCAAGTGTCACAACTTGTTCTGTCATTGATCACCTATTATCAATCGCCATGTTGAATTTTCAGGACACAGGGTGAGACGTCAAGGAGGAGGCTTTGGCAGTTTCCGTCCTTCCCTGGGTGGCAGCGCTTACAATAATTACAACGGGGGTGAATTTGGGGCTGGAGGAGGCTACAATCAAGGGGGCGGAGGTTTTGGAAATGGTGGAGGTTACAATTCTGGCGGTGGTTTTGGTGGGGGCTACAATCAAGGGGGAGGAGGTTTTGGAAATGGTGGAGGTTACAATTCTGGCGGTGGTTTTGGTGGTGGTGGTTACAATCAAGGGAGTGGTGGATTCGGTAATGGTGGGGGTTACAATCAGGGAGGAGGTGGATTTGGAGGAGGTAGCGGTTATCAAGGGGGTGGATTCAACCAAGGAGGAGGAGGAAGTGGGATCGGATATGGACGTAAGACCTCAGTTAAATAATCCAACATTTGAAGAATTTATAGACTCATGACCATTTTGGTGTTGTACAGGTTAAGCCAACTTTTGCAACGTTATTGGAAGAAAATAAAAATCTGCAAAGACAAATATCTATTTTCTGTTTATTTATGTTTCTACTTAACGAATGTTTCAATTCTCATTTGTTAAGAACATTTCTCATGTGTTACAATCATGTTCGCTTTAATATGTTGTAATGTAAGCATAAAATGTAATAAGTATGCTTATGTTAGCGCGTGATATTGGTAAAACACTTTCACCTGTTGGCAACCAGTTACTATTTTGCATAGCTGTCTGTGACAGTATCATACACATGATATGCATGATTTTACATTTCTGTTAAAACTGAGCACTTGTGATGTAGAAATAGTACAACTAAGTATTCATATTTAAATCCCTGTTTGAACGGAAATGATTTTGAAGAATAATTGAAGCGTCGCATTTGGAGCGTCATTAAAAAAGAAGCTCCCATCAGTGTGCTCATTTGGCCAACTTCCGTACAAGTCAGTCTCAGCAGTCAGGTGTCAATCCACGACCGAATGTGAAAGTGACAAAGAAGTTCATGCGTAAAAATTCATGACGCTGCAGGTAATGGACAATGGACTGTAAGTTTAACAACTGAGGTGCCTCTTTCATGAATTCATCTGCACATTATTGTTTAGTGACTTGGTCACTTGTAAATAATTGCTCATTTGCTATAATATTATTGATGTTGTATTGATGCGTATAATGTAGGTCGGTCGGTATTTAAATGGCTTAATTTCAGCTGACTTACATATTTGTAGACATATTTACATCAACAACGCACTATTAAATAATGATACACACACGTGATTCGACAAGGATTTACATAAAAACAATATGCATGCTGCAACTATATGAATACTAAACGGGACTTTCAAGTCTTTGACCTGGCTACAGTCCATCCTTGGATAAACTCCATAAAATGAAGAACAGGACAGAACAATTTCACCACTTCCTAAATTTAGAACGAAGGGGAAAGTTAAAATTCCAGTCTGCTTGTTTGTTATTTTCAATGGCAAAATTGTTCCTTCTCGTAGCCATTCTTGGCGTCCTCCTCGTTTCAAAAGTATCAGGAATTTGGCGTAAGACTAAATCCTTTAGGAGTTTGCAGTACTTTTACAAAACACAATTTTAGCTGATCTAACTTTTCTTGGTAGTTTTCAGGCCTTTTAACTTTCGTCCGATAAAATATTCCACCACTACGACAAGTACGACCACTACCACACCAACGACAACCACAGCTGCAACAGACGCAACTACAACCACGACGACCACGCCAACACCGGTGCAAATTAGTGCAGGGTTCGTGACAGATCAAGTCTTTAATCAAACTACGGGACAAGGCTACTTTCCATTTCAGCAGTTTCCTCAGTATGGCATTTTTGGGGCCTTAAATGGTGGTGGGGGGTTTGGCCAATCAATTGGTGGACTTGCCAGACCAAACATTCCATTGCTTTTTCGACCCTTCATTGGAGGGTTGGCTAGGCCCAACAATGGGGGATTTGCAGGAAATTATCCCGTCATAGGAGGTGTAGCCACTGCAAATGGATAATTACAAGTTTTGTTACTTTATTTTATTTTGAAATATAAAGGAAGAATTGTAATCATACCATAATACATACATATTTATGCATTTGTACAAATACATGCACATTTAATAATAAATTGTTCCTTGAAATTTTATTTGTTAAATATACATACAATGTTTTGAGTTTGAGTTGCATTAACAGACATTCATTCAACTACTACCAGTTAATTCAAGACTATATGATAGCAACTTTCCCCAAAGTAAAATATTTCACTACAATTTGATAATGTAAAACACTTGTAAAATCGGAATATAAAAAGTGGCGAAACCAAATATGTTTCTTAATGTAATCCATCGTTAAATACTGGTCTAAAATACTTTTCCAGCGACACCTCTCTGAAATAGCTTTAATTTGATACCCCATATACTCTTTTGACCCTGCCGTGACCTTTTGGCAGCGTTAAAAACTTTAAATCTAGTTCCCTGATGAGTTAACGGACGGACAGACCAGGGACATAAAGCGGGTTTATCTACTTAAGCCCACAATAATGAACTGTGAAATCTTTTCATACATAAACTCGTAACAGCATAATAAAAAATAAATAATAATATGTATTTGAGTTCACAATACTCGTAGATTACATAGTGCATTCTTTGATTCGTATGTATTTACATATAACGGAAATGACTTGTCTTCTTGAGATCATCGTGATTTATACACATGAATGTACTTTGTTGTTGAATGAATTCTTGACCTTAAATTCAAGTTAACGATTAGCTAGCAGGAAAAGTAAACTGTTGCAATGACCAAACAATAAAAAAGATGTATATTAATGCCGGTGATGAATTGACATGTAATTTGAAAGCAGCCGATTAAGGAAAGTATTTTATGCGTGGCTTGTCAAAATAACTCGTGCTGCGTATGTAGATCATACACATATACAACCCTAATGAAAATAAACCTATTTTGCATCCTATCCTAACAAGTCTTAATCGCTTGAAATAACAGGTAGGTCGTACACTCAGGTGTGGCTTGGATGGTGTTGTTAAAAGCCATCATTATTACTGTACTTAAAAAGTCTTTGTTCATTCTCACCAAGTTGTTGCATTGTTCACCCGCTTTGTCGAAATGAAAATCTAAATTGTATTTGCGCACACAATGAAGTCGCTCTGCTTTCAAAGACATAATCGAAATATATAAAATGCACATGTCCTTTGTAAACCCCATTTAGTTATTTCACTTTCTTGAGGGTGAACACGTCGAAAAATTTCAATGTCGTCCGAAAGCATCAGTACCCATGCAAGATAAGAATGGTGCACTACTTCTTTTGGAGTTTGCCAATATTGTGCTTCGTGTTTGTGGCGATTGCCTCGTTAGCAAAGGAGACAAACGCTCTACCTTTCTCAACCACCAACTATGATCTCCAGACGAAAACAGGTCCAGGTTTTACGGTGTTTTACTCGAGTATCTTCCAAGTTTAGTAGCTGTGAAAATGTAGTTAAACGATTTTTGCAGAACTACTTGAGAACCATCCAAGGGTGAAAAGGAGCCCGTTCATCATGGCTTTTCAAGTTACGAAGCCTCCAGGGATGTTTCAAATGTCACTACGAAGACCTTACATCATGAACATGATGAGCAACTTGACCCGCTCACTCTTCTCATCCAGTTTGACGGACATGATTCGACGAGGTTTCGGATCCCTCGTCTCCTCAAGTAATGCCACAGTCGTGGAAGGAATAAGGTCAAGACAGGAAGATTTAGAATTATTTGATAAATGAGGAAATTTGTACAATTCAGTTATTTTGAAATTTAATTTCTATGATGTAATTTTTATAAGAAATAAACTAAAACTTTTTATTATAAAAAAATAATTTATAAATGATCAGATATGTCTGCGAATTTCAGGGATTCTTACTTGATTTTATTCTTAAAATTACTAGATTTCAATGAACATCTTCATCAGGCAAAAATACAACGATTTCGGATAACTAGAACAATTCATTCGTTTGACAACTCATGGTTTTTTAAAGGGTGGATTACGTGTAAATGAATGTTACTTATTGTTGGTCACGATTAAAGTATAAAAAATTCAGTATTACTTGCTGAGTATCATATTGGATTGACTCGACTCCATTGGATGTTAATTTTATTCACCAACAAAGTTAATGTTCAACGCTTCTTTGAAACTTTTAGCAGTATTTATAAATCATTGAAAAACACAGTGAATTACAATTAAAACTGTACTTAAATATTAAGATGAATTTTTTGGTGTAATCAAGAACACCATTTCATCCACTGGTCCAATATCGGGATGTTTTGCCACGGGATGATTTTCTGGAAGGGGTGCTTGATCTAAGAACTTCACTTCCGCCCAGTCCTCGTACAGCGTTTTCAAGTCCTCATCGTCCAGCGAACGGGGCGGCCCTGTTATCCAATTGTTAAATCGTTAATATAAATCTTAATTACTAAAACATCCAAAACAATGTCATGCATTATTATTACCTCCAAATTTGGTTTTGTCATACCGGACAATTTCTAACAGGTAAGAAAAATTATGATCTGCACATGGAAAAATCAGATTTGACTTAATCAAGTGATTATTCGCAAGAAAAATAAGCAAAACAAGTATTACAGTTTCCTTTCTCCTTGTGTTTCAGTGCACGTTGCATCATGGCCTTGTAGTTGTTTCGACAGGGATACTCGATCGCAATCAGAGAACCTCGATCCCACACATAGTCAAAGGGACCAAATTGCTCGATGGGACATTGAAACAAATCTCCAAAGTAAATTTTGAGCCGACCCTCGGCTCCCACAAAGAGATTGGCTTCGTTCTCAAGGGTCAAGCCCAGCCCATGCTCCTCGCCCAACGTCCGCCTGACGAACCCCCTCAACTCCAAACACGTTGTAGCCCAAACTTAGGAGGAAAGGAATGTCCACTGTCTTGCCCGATAAGGGGACGTACCAAGTTTTAGTCGAATTGACCTTGAATTCTGGAGCCTCCTTTGAAAGTGGAGCTTCCGGAAGACTTTTCCCTGTAATTTTCGAGTAATATTTTAAAAGGTATTTGTCCACCTGAGGTTGATGCCATCCAATTCTTTGTTCATTCCATCGTGTAGCCCAATACTCTATATTACTGGAGACTTTTTCCGCCTGAGTGTCCATTTTAATTAACGAACTAAGTACAATTCAATTTAAGTGAAAAATGACCAATATTTGACTTATGCTTCTGATAAATATTTGGAATCAAAACCTTGGATTCGATGAAACAATAGTTGTACCGACTGGCGTGTACATAAACGTGCATAAAAGAATTAGCCGGGTTCGTGGTGTAGTGTAACAGAATCTCATGCACTTCATTCAAGGATTTTATGATCATAAAGTATGATATAAGACTAATATACATGGTCTACGATACATACATGAGTATGATCAAGTATGATTTACATAAGTTATGAAGGTCAGACATCAAAGTTCTTAGCTTGCACGATTCTATGTACTTGCGATGTCCATACAAAAATCGAATAATTTAAATTAGGTTTAAAGCATCATCATATCCTGCAAGATTTATGCAAGATAGTCAAAAATGAATATAGTTGGATATGGGAAAAATGGCATTGCCCATAGAACTTCAGACCCGTCTTGCCTAAAAGGTTTTTACTGTTGACTGTTTGAGATGAAAACCATATCACATCAGTTTTTCATGGAGAAAGTATCAAAAATGTGCTGGCACGCCTCTTTAAAATGCAAAATTTACATTTTCAGGATTTTGAGTCATGCACCAGTAGGGCAAACCAAGAAGAATGTCTCAGGATGCCACACAGATATGCCAGATTTTCATTCATGGAGTGAGAGGTCAATCTGGTCCAATCGGATTTAATAACAACATTTATTTGTTTCTCATTTAACAAATAAAAATATATGCGAGTATTTTCTAATCTATTCTTGTTGGAGTGCACGATGAATTTATCATTTACTTTAAAAAACTTAGTTTGAGTCTTTAAATTATTTCGCATGAATCTCTAAAAGTGGGTCTCTTCTTATCCCCCCGAGATCTCAAGTGTATTTCGTAAAACATTTCTTCTGAAAGAAAATCTAAGTCTGGATAAATAACAATTTCATAACGACCAGTTTGACTTGCTAAAATAACGTATTCCATTCAAGTTGATAAAATTATATAACTAACAATTAATTAAGGTACATTTCCACACATCATTTTATCAGTTCTTATATAACTTATTAGAATAATATTCTAATAAGTAGATATACGAAAAGTAGATATTATCATCTTTTCTTTACAATTTAGCAGTTGTTATACAAGACTTCCCAAATAAATCCTGCAAAACGACTGTCTGATCTATACAACTATTTGTGGTCCCAAGAACTACATACTTAACACAAACAACCCATTTGGATCACATTACAGACAATCAAACTGTAACAAATTTCTACTAAAAATTGGCACACATTGGACATTAATTTACAAATTTTAATAGCATTCGTATTGTTTAGTATAGTTCTCTACCTAACATTTACAACAATTATTATAATAATATTAAGCGTATGTATTTCAATAGCAATGGTTCCAGTTTTCTTAGTAGCGACGACTGAGTTTTCTGGAGGGCAGATTGATAATATTTTTAACTAACCATGGCGTTACTACATATTCAAACCTTGTCAATAAATTACAGACTAAATCTACTTTTACTACTTTATCGATAAAAAGATGTTAAAATAGATCAACAGATAACAATTACATACATATATGTATATATATAAAAGTAAGGTACATGGTTTATAAAATTTGAGCGAACACAAATCGGTAAGTTTTGGTCAGTGCACGATTGAGCCGAATAAATCTTAAAATCATTAATAAGGTTATTCGCAAGAAGAAGATTATTAAACAGGAAAGGTTATAACATAGTTCATCCAGTTAGAAACAAATGTTTTTTAAAGCTTTCCTTAAAAACAAAAAAAGAAATAAATGAGGTCCTTATCACATGTAGTGTATATAAAATCAGTCGTTGTACTAATAGTCACGTCATAGAAAATTAAAATTACGATGGTTCTTCAACAGGAGCAGTTAGTCGTTCCATCCAAGTCTCCCCATAGATCTTGCGAGCGACAGTCTAAATCAATTAAATTTGCAAAATGTATAAGATTTCATCACATGACTTTTTAAATTATCTACATCGCATTGATTATGCACCTGCAGTGAGACCAGGGACATGTCACAATCTGTTGTGTCTGAAATTTGTTAAAAAACATGAATTAACAACAACAACCATAGATGCAAATTATCCCCTCATTACTATATATCCCAACTTAACCCACCAATTTCATTCAGATTCATTCCAGATTTCTCCATTTCGAAGTAAATTCCAAACGGTAATTTTCCTAGAAAATTTTGAAGGAAGATTTTTTTAAATAATTGACAGATCAAAATAGACCGCATTACATATTCCAATTTATTTAATAGCGACTGTACCTAGACATTCCATTCGCATGATGTGCATTTTTGAGCGGAGATGTTTTGCTAAATGCCCGTGGATTCTAAATGCAATCTTACAATCAGCACATTTAAACGGCCTTGGATTCTCTTCATTCGCAACCCCCCACGCCTCCGTTAAGTAAACCTACATAATTTAAAGATAATTGATTCCCAAAACTTGGGTTAAGAAATTTAGAGTTAAATAATTACCTTGCAATCGTGACTACTTGACCTCCGGTGTTTAATTAAATGTCCTTTCGTTCTAAAACTAGATTCATATACCAATTTAATAATAATATTTGAAATTTCCCAAATCAAAAGGATATAAATCGTAATTTTTTCAATTACCTGACTCCGCAAGGGTCACATCTAAATGGTCTTTCCAGGTAGTGAATGTTCATATGAAGTGTTAGCTGGCTAGGTCTAGCAAATGATTTCCCACATACGTTGCATTCAGCTTTACCGTCTTCCCTAAAAATTGAATTAAAACAAACGTAATAAGGATTGTAGAATAAATATCTCCGAGCTGTAGTCTCTGATAGTGTTATACATAAATAGATACTTACTTCACCATAGCTTGAGCACCACTGGGTTGCCTGAATTCTGCTTGTGGTTTGGTTGCAAAGGTCTTTCCTTTCGGACTTGTTACGTCTCCAACATCCGGAGTTGATGCGGATCCATTGACATCGATATTAGTGCTTGATCCTGATGACTTTTCTGGTGGTATGGATTCCACAAGTTTTCCGTCCTTTTTCTTACCATTGCTACCCTCAGTTTCCAGAGCTTTCTTTTCCGTTGGGCTAAGCCATGGCTGATGAAGTCTTACAGCACTACTTCCTCCAGCCGTGGATACAGATCCTAGCACTTGTGCACTTGACCCTGGCTGTTGTGGCTCACTTGATGAAGTTGCAGTGGAAGAAGGTACAGGGTGAATTTGCGAATTGGATGAATTACTGTTTTCCGAATCTTGCCTCTTGCGTTTAACATATCCATTCGGAGGACGACCATCCCCAGTTTCACCAGGGTAGTCAAAAATTTCTTGTTTGATTTCTCGAACCACAGCTTCAACCGTTGGGCTTGGCTTTCGTTTAATGGACAAAGGTGTTGATGACTCCGTACTGGTATTTAATACTTTCTTCAAATCGAGACTGCCTTTTGAAATTAATTCCTCCTCTGGCTCCCAGCTTTGTGCCTCGCTTACTAGACCAATTGATTTCACAAATCCATTCAACTCAAGCTTTGGACGTTTCACTTCAGGTTCTTCAGAGGACGGAACTGCCTCGAAACTGGTGGATGTATGTGCAATAGATTTCGGTTTTACGCTCAAGTCCATTGGGGTTTCGCCATTAACTTCTGCAGTAGATTTGATGACAAGATTGGCACCACTAGTTGTCAGTAAATCCTCACCAGCACTTGCGAGCTGTGATGACCGCTTTTGTTTCTTGGACCATTCACTTTCTGATGGGCGTTGTGACATGCGACTTAAGTCCAGTAGACTTAATGCAATCTCCTTCTCAACACACTCACTCTCAGTTCCTGTTGATGGACTCCCATCTCCTTCATCACATTGCGAGTCAGAATCTCCTTCGTCCTCATCGTCGTCAGAATCGTTTTCTGAGTTTGAGTCTGAAATATTCGGTCCCGTTGAGGCCAACGATTGTACGGATTCAGGGTGAATTCCCATACTGAAAGTAAAAAGGAAAGAAAATTCAAACCGAGTTGCAAAAACAGTTGAGGCCATATTAAATACCTATTTAGGCGTGCAGAAACAAATTAATTGTTTTGTGGTTAATTTTACACTTGACGAACAATAAATAAAGTCTAAATAAGTAATAAATATTCGATATATGAGACTTACCTTATGCACTTTTTATGATGAGATTTGGATTTTTGATGTTTTGTCAAATTGCCTTTGGTTTTGAAGCTGGTTAACAATAAATGATCATTAACTTAGAGCAACAACTACATAAGTATATTAATTGACTAATTAATATCTCAAGATAAACAACCAACCAATCAAAAATATTGAAATATATTCACGTATACATAACAAAATGATTTAACTTTACCTAAAGTTGCAAAGTTTGCACGTATACGGTCTCAAATCGGTATGTGTCTTCAAATGCTTGCGTAACATTGATGGTTTTTTACACCGAATGCCACATGCCTCACACACGAATCGACCTTTACCTGAAACACAATGGGATTATTAGAATATTGAAGAAACATCTTTTCAGTCAAATTACAGGATGTATCTATCTATTTACTTCTTACCTCTACCTCGCACGTAGGTATATGCTTCATTCGACTCGAACCCACCTTCCATAATTCGCACTCGCGACCCATCAGCTCGACTAATCATCACTCCCATCCCGTCAGATTTGATCGAGTCAGACGCCGAGTTAGAGTCATCTCCCCCCCGCATCATGGAATCGTTGGAGGAACGAGATGCAATGAGTAGCTGTCCGTCCTCGCTATTATTCTTACTACTGCTGCTGCTAATCTTCTTTTTCTTCTTCCTTGTACTCTGCTTACGCCCAAAACTATTGTTGCAAGCGGTATTTTCCTCCCCAGAACTCAGGTCTGACGATGAGGACAGAATGGAAATTGCTCGTGCTACAGAGCTATTCAATGTTGATGAGGAACAAAGAGCAGACGCAGTCGTATTTTTACATGGAGAAAATAATTGGCTCTGACTCATGGATGAGGATGATATTGGTGTTGAGCTGGTGGTTGTGACTGTGGAGGTAGAGAGCGAGGTCGGAAATCCTAAACCAAGCCCTTTTCCGTGAGGTACCGCTTCAGAGCTTCGACTCAGACTAGTTACCATTGGTCCCGTAGCGTTTAATTTGGCCGAGAAAAGCGCTAGTGGACTCTTCTCGGACATTGGAGATGAAATTGGTGGTTGCTTGTCAGGGGAGGAGACCGCCAATGTGTCACAGTTCTTGCCTATGGCTGACGTGTATATGGTTTTCAAGTCCTTTCTCCCATTTATTCTGAATTTACAGAATACATTTTTCATTAAGTAATCCACCCTACGCATAAAATAATAGTGTGTACTTGTATAGGTTAAGAGTAAGTTCGTACCGTGAGTCATTGGTGGACATGTCACATTCCGGTTCTTTCGGGTCCTTGGGACATGGCTGTGTGAGGAGAAAGCAAATGTGATGATTAGTCATCGTAACCCATAATACATACATATCTACTCCGAGTAGTGGGAATGTGCAGGCAATGAGTCTCCAAAAAATGATTCACGCGTTGAAGGTGAAAGTCAAAGAAAAAGTAGCTCAGACAAACCGCTACATAGTTACACATACCTGCCAGTTGGAGTACATAGACAACTTGGGATCGTTGTTTTGAGGGATGAACATTGGCTGCGGCTTGAACAGTGTGCAATAGCTGGATCTGGTTGAAACTTTGAACCCCAAATATGTATAAGCGTTGCCTAAAAGAAGAAATTAATTTTCAATTAACTATTTTAACAAGATTGCCTTTCGTTGGAGAGAATAACACTTTTATTTAAAACACAGACAGAGATGAACAGATTAGATTATAACTTACCATTTATTGACATTTGATTGTATGATCTAATGAAATACACAAAATGTCAAATTAAAAACGTTCAGTACCAAAATTTTATTTACTGTACATAATATAAAATGCATATTAGTCACTTACTTGGCAACTCTTGGCGTTTCTGGAGAAGGGAGCACTCCAGCGTCGAATTTCTTCAAGACATTGTTCACTGGCTTGAGTGCTAGAAAGTTTGGACGCTTTGGATTACTATTCGAACTAGGCAGTGGTGCTGTTTGGGATGATGATTGATGTTTTGGTTCCTTGGGAGAAGTCGTCTCATTTTGTGAGGAAGAATGAGACGCCCGTGCTTGGGGCGGAGTAACTGGTGCGGAACCGTTTTGGGGACTTCTCTTTGGAGGAGAAACACACGTGGGGGCTTTATGAGGTAAAGGTGGAGCTGGTGCTGAAGGAAATCCTGGAGAGGATACCTTGCAATTCATGGTGGGAACAGCAAAAGGCTTACTGTTAGGAATAAGTTTCAAATCTAGTGCAACTGGTCCCGAAATTGGGGGTGGAGGAGGTAGAAGAAGTTGCTGTTGTTCCACCGTTGTCGATATTGTTTTCGAATGTCTAGAGTTTTTTCGCTTAGGAGGAGATTTAGAAGCGCCTTTGTACCCTTTGGAATTGTCTTGGGCACTGTTACTAGTCATCAGATATGATGACGACGACTCTTCGTTTTCTCTTTCGCGTTCCACTCCCTTAGTTGAGAGGCTAAGGGGGCCGTTATTGTTATTGTGGTGGTGGTTAGGGAAAAACAGGGACGTACTATCCATGACCAAATGAGGCGAAGAAGGCACTTGAACTTGTTCCATAAAACGTCCAAAGTTCGCAGCGGCAACGGACTGGACCGACCACTCCCCACTCCCACTGCCATTACTCGTCCTTATTGTTACTTTTGCACCTGATTGGAGAAAATAAATAAATTTAAATACACGAAAAATATGTATGACCATGTCATCGTAAATGTCAGGATATTAGTCTATGTATCAAACTACTGCATAATATATGTACAGTGTATACATACATATTTTGTCTTGTGAGTTTGTACGCATAATAGGTTTCGTGTAACAAGTGTTTGATTTGAATAAATCTAATTCTATGCATGCACATATATATTTAATATTAGTTTTTTACCGGAACAATTATTGACTCGGACATTCATATCGACATCCTGGTAGTAATTTTTGGAGAGAGACACTTCACTCATGGGCAGCTCGGACACTTCTCCCCCACAAAGTCTTGAAGGAGTGGGAGACATGCGTCGTCGTTTTTTTGGAACCATCAAGGAGGAGGCATTGGCAGCGAGGGCGAGAGGAAAAGAAACGAGGTCTGCGAGTGAGGAAGGAGAAGTGGACTCTGGGATTCCATTGGAAAATGAATTCTTTAATAAATCTGCTTGTGCCTTTAGGATGAGAGGATTGGTCAAGAACTCAACAGTGCCACCGGAGGAAGTCATGTCGAAACTGGAGTGACGAACAAGCCCGTTGTGATGGTGGTGGTTATGTTGATTGTGGTGAAGAGGAGGGTGCAAGGACGATTGTTGCCCTAGATGAGTGAGTGGGGTTGGGGGGTTACTTTTCGAGGAAGATTGTACAAGCTCTGTTGTGGAACCACCACTCATGATTGTTAGCTGATTGGTACGTTGGGAGGAAGTGGAGTTTCGTGAGGTATGGCTTTTCAACTTTTTGGTAAAATGTTCTGGCCACTCGAGCAGTGATTGATTTTCATCGATTATCTTGGAGATTCTATCATCTAACGATTGTCGGTCGAGTCGCAAAACTTTACAAACTTTCCCAGCATCCGCGTCAGAATCCCCTTGGTTGGACGAGGATGATGAAATGGACGCAGAGGTGGGTGGCGATGAGGCGAGCCCATTCTGATGATTTTGATTATGATGATGATGATGAGGCGTAGAGATTTCTGATTCCGAAGCAATTCTAAATTTTGGCTTGTAAACCATTGTACTGGTGCAGTTGCTAGCAGCAGAAGAGATTTTATTTTGCAGCTGCTGACTACCACTTGTTAACGTTGATGAACTATTTTCTAATGATTGACTTTGTCTAATGACTTTAGATTCCATTGCACTACTAACGTTCTTAGCATTATTATCACTAATATTAGTACTACCGCTGCTACTATTAAGGATATGATTGTGCGACTGCTGCGTACTTAACCCATTATACTCTGGACCAGGTTTCACCCGCGTTCGCAGTGTTGTTGACGACGACGACGACGAGTTGCTAGCTGCTGCTGCTTCAGCTGCGTTATCTTCTACCGTGTTGGTCAATTTTTTAAACTTTTTGTGGAGGTAGAAATCACTTGAAGGTTTGAGACCCGAATTGGTGTCCCCTTCAGAAACGGATTTAGTCCTAAATGAGGAAGAATGAGGTGATGAGGAGGACGATGGGCCGTACAAGGTGTTCCTTTTGGAGGAATCGTTGGTTGGAGCGTGGTACTGAGCGTTTCCTCGTGAAATGTAGGAAGTAGCAGGACCTCGACCAGATGAACCACCACCACCCCTTCCGGTCGCAGTAGCTGGAGTAGATCTTCCTCCTCCGCGAGCTGAATCACTGCTGGTTCCTCCTCCTCTAGAACCCCCTCTGAAATACAAGTAATGCAATCACATTTAGTGTTTAGAAAAATATGTCACAAAAACTCTGACACTCAGGAATAGAAACATCCGAGACGCTTGGCTTTTTTAGAGGTCTGCTGACACGAATACATTTCAATTGAGCAGAAGTCATAGAATATCTGAGAATGACAAGTTTGATGTCAACGAGTTCATTTTCAACATACGGGTTCTCTTCTACGACTCACAAAGAATAAAAATGTCTGGCTACTTATTGGAAGATAAAAAGAGCGATAAGAACCTAAAGAACGAAGGGGAAGTGAATATGTGGTGATAGTTGTTGTACATAATAATAATCGATATCGATGGATACTGTATGACGACGAGATGTGGGGAGTGAAGCTGTATGTCCAATCAAGATGTCAAACACATTCAACAACCCCTTTCATTTGAATTGACATTCTTCTGTGTAAGAAACCTCCTCGACAACCACTTGTTTCTTCAGAGAATTCTCAGAAAGTATTAAATTCAATCAGAAAACAAAAACTAAATGTCCGCTCAACCAAGCACAGACTTTTTACGTCAGACAATGACATTTGGCACACTTGGTACTGCATATCGTCATTACTGCATGCAGTGGTTATGCTGATATGCTCGAATACTTATGTATACATGCTATTGCATATCAAGTTATGTTTCGCTATTTTAAGTAGAATATTATGGTGTGTCACTTTCATGTCCATAATTCTGAGACTGTTTTAGATTCTTGTTGCCATTTAGACACAAATTGTCAGCATCAATTCACTACATTGCTGATATTCTACATCCCCTTCTTTCTTCCTGGAAATCGTCTTCCAACACAATGTTAGAATTTCGCTGGAACTCCACCCACCAACCAACCAACAACACCTTCTGAAAGTTTCAGACTGAAACTGAATGTCGGAGAAAAATATCCGGGTATGTAGGACCATATGTGACGCTTCTGTTCGGAGTACTGCAGTGACACTTATCAATCAGGATCAAATTAAATACAACTAAATATAAAGCTAGTGATGATTGTACGCACTTCTCGACCCTCTTAATTTTTCCAATCCACCTATTCTGGGAATCTCTCAGTTCATATTCGACTCAGAATTGATTAGAACATCTCATTCTATCATTTCTATCTGTAAAAAAAAAGTTTTACGTTTACGGAATGTACAAAACAATTGACGAGAACATGTACATACGCCCTGTTACTGCCTTGCAGTTATAAAAATATTCCATACATTAAGGTCTTAGAAGACCTTGCTTGCGTATACATAACTTGGCTTTTTGAGAAACATGAATGAATTTGAAAATTCTGAGAAGATTCATGGTGAATTAAATTTTACCTACATACATACATATGATACATGTAAACCTACATATGTATGCAAAAAGTAGGGAAAACAACGAAGAAAACTTTATTATTTTGCTGTTACAATAAAAACAAAATAAATTAAGAAGGCTGTTAAATAAAGGATGTTTTTACCTGGATCCTCTCCCCCGACCTCGACCGCCTCCTCGAGATGAACCACCCCTTGCACCTGAAAAAGATAAAAGTTTTAAGAAGTCATGAATCATTACAAGTTCATTCTTCTTGACAGGAACTTGTCAATTATTATGTATATCATGCTAAATAAGGCCTCGATGACTTTACTATTTCTTGAATAAAATATTTTTTGCGATCAATGACTAATTCATAAATAACTAAATGAAATATTTATTATTTTTGGTTCTTGCATTTTTTCAAGTGTATGCCAAAATGCATATGTACGTGAGCATATGCATAGCTGGTTGCACAATTCTGCGTTACGAAATGAGAGAGGCTCATAGTGTTTATGTACATGTGTATCATTACATTGTTCTAGTGAACTCCCGACAGAGAACTGAAACGCTTTACTTCCTCAACATTTCTGGGAAGTATGTGACCACGATTGGCAATCTTTCCATTATGTGCAAGGATTCGAGTGACACAGTTTCTTCATGCTGTCATCGATCCCTCAAGAGACGGACTCAGAAAGTTCAACATGTATTCAACATGTACATATTCAACAGAGACTTTATAGAAAGGAGTGTGAGATAGCTACCTTGAACAGCCAAACCGCTTTTCATACACACTAACTTATTATTAATTTTTGACATGTGTATGAGTAAAGGTCTGCCACAAATTCCGAGAAACAACGTATGTTCCTCGGAGGTCTGGTAAAAATTGATAATACAACGAATACCAAAATCATCAGTCATCTTAGGCGCTCATCATTTAACCCATTAGCTTCTTTTAGGAAAAGGTAACACTCCTTAAAATATTTTATTATTTCATTGGAGTGTCGACAGTTTTCGCAGAATGAGTCATCTACATGTCTAACAACACCGGTGCATTGCATGTGCGGTGTACCAAAATTCTGCGAATATGAACCTGTACAAGAAAAGAAAACATTGATATTTATGATGTTTTTCACCAACTACTTCAACAATCAACCTCAACAAGCAAACAGAAATAGGGAAGCTTCTTTAGAAGTCACGCCGTGAGTAAAGTTAGATACATGTAATGTGCAAACTATTCCAGTGATAAAATGTACTATACATATATATGCAATATGTATGTAGTCAGTAGTCAATAGTATGCATGCAGTTATTTTGTGTACTATTCTCGCACTAATATGTACGCAGGTCATACTTGTCAAAACAATACATTAAAGTACCATTTAAATTTTTCTCTTCAGTTTGGATAATAAGTCACCATATTAAATAACGCTGATTCGTTGTTTATCAGGAAAATCGAAATGTAAGACTTCACTGGACTTTAATTGGAATTAAAATGTGTACATCCTATGTAATATGATGTTGCTCAGTTTGCACAATTATTTGCAATTGGCATTGAGATTTAAAATGGTGATGTCACATGTTAAATACATGCATATGAATATGCAGACCATCTTAATTACTGAATAGGTTCACAGTGACCGCAACATCTCATGGGGTTTAAAGCTTTACTACAGTAGGATCACATAAAAAACTATCAATGAGGTTCCGATAAATTACTAATTGGCTAATAAACTAGTACGACTCGAGTTTAGCGAATTTGTTTGAAAATCGTAAGCACCTGATACATAGGAACAATGTCATCGTCAAGTACAGAAAACAACAAACTTGCAAAAATAGTCGTGATGCATATTCAACATGGAACAAGAGTGTGAAAGGTGTCACATAATTGAATTGTTTTACTCAATGACTATAATCTGATAATCTCATTGGCTATCAAAGAGGTTTTGGTTGCAGAGACGAAAATGGCCGGCCAGAGTGTGGTGGAAGCTATCGGATCTCTTGTTCTCGTTGCTTTGCTTGGTTATCAAAATTATTCGCAAAAACGTGTTCAGTGGCTTCATATGAAACTGACAATGGAGGCGCAAACCATGTTCAGCCCAGATAATTTTTTGACCTTATTAGTTTGAAAGAGCAAGTCTTTACAAACAACATTTGGTTCGGCACTTGGGCAGATGCGCAAATTTCAGCACGTTATGGGCGCCGCAAGTTCGCAAAAACGCACAAAGTTGAGCTCGCGCTGGGCATTGTTCGAAAAATCATGCGTTTTTGCGAACTTGCGGCACCCATAACGTGCTGAAATTTGCGCATCTGCCCAAGTGCCGAACCAAATGTTGTTTCTAAAGACTTGCTCTTTCAAACTAATAAGGTCAAAAAATTATCTGGGCTGAACATGGTTTGCGCCTCCATTGTGAGTAAAGTTCATCCGTAGATTGTGATAAAATGAAATGGTCATAAAATGGAATCAGAATTGAATGAAGTCATCCCACAGTAGTGGGACAGTCAGTCAGGTCTCTCCCTCTCTCCAACTCCAAGCAAATGGAGTGCATGGCGTCTCCCAGTCGACGGCATTGGCAATAACAACCATCATTCCACTTGACTTGGTTGTGGATACAGTCGAGCAAGATTGTCGACGTCAGACTGGTGGGATATATACATATTATTGCATATGGAGGAGTGACAGGAAAACCTCTACCACCATCAACTTCATCAAGCTCGCCCTACGTCTCTGTTCATAATAATAACACGAAATGCCAAATTGCCAGCGTGCCAACTAAGCATAAGCAAAATCACAACAGCTTACAAATTTATACTACAACCCCAAGAGTGCAAAAATTAGAACATTTTTCTTGTCTTAATCAGTCTAATCCCATAATCAGCAACATTTGACTCAACTCACAAAGATAATTCGGTGACAAACTAAATGAGCAGAGCAACTTGCAAAGGGGAATATTCGGACAGCACATAATCGCTGGTTGAGACTACTGGGGCAAGAGTTATGTGTGGTTGAATAGTGGTTCAACTTCTTTGTAAAATATTTGCAAACCAAGGCACAGGGTAAATAAACACTATTTACTGAAAAACTGCGTAGAAAGCAAGCAGCAGCACTGGCTCCTTCTTCACGTACAACTTTTGGCATTCCCGTCTTTCAGCCAAACTGACTCCTCATCATAAATTTAACCCTCTAGATGAAGAAGAATGGGCAAACCTATATATTGCCAGTAAACATATTCATAACCTGTTTCTACTTACATACGACCAACGTAATCTCTCCATCAGAAATTCATTTAGATAATGCACAATTCAGATACATGGATGTGCGCTGGCTCTGCACTTGAAGCGCAACACCGATATTAACTACAACGAATAAATAAGATAAAGAGGCAATTCACGCACTCCTTCGTAACTACGTAAACAGCGTAAAATCCGTAAACTTACAAACGTTTACAAACTTTTACAAAAATTGCCAAGGAAAATCAGTTTACAAACTTTTGTAAACTTACGCAGCTCACAGGCGTCTTTTAATTTTGTAAAGTATTTTGTCAGGGTTGTTAAAGAGACAGTAACTTGATAAGGGGTTGCGCAACGTGGGCGATTTTTTAAAAATAATTAAAAAATTAAATTTTGAAAAAAATTAATCACTAAGCTAAATCACTAAGTAAATTTGAGGGGAAACTCAATTAAATCTCACCGTACAACTTTGCATAGCCCGATTCAGAAATTATCAGTATATGTATACATACAAATACACAAGCACAATTTAATACCGTTTTTTATGTACATACATTATAAAAACACTCTATATTATTTTAAATCGATAAAGATTTGAATTCCAACAATACTAAAACATAAGGATAATACAGGATAGGAATGATAAGATTATTTTATCGTGACGACAGACGGACAAACAGCTACCAGAATAAGCCATGAAATAAAAATTTTGTATGGAAAACCTAACAACCAATCAGGAGCTGGTGGTCCGGACCACCAGCTTTTTCAAAATTTAAAAAATCGAAAAAAGTGCTCACGTTGCGCAACCCCTTATCAAATTACTGTCTCTTTAACAACCCGGTATTTTGTAAACTCAATTTGGGGAAGAAAAAAATTGTTCGATGCAGAAATTTGGCATAAAGGTTGCTAGTGGCTGCTAATGAAAGAATATGAAGTGAAATTGGTAAAATTTTCACATCCGGGACCCGCTGGGGTGACCCATACCGATTTTCATAACTTGTCTCAAAAAGCTGAAATTCAGAACAGTGATACTTAATAGATTCTCATGAAAGAATATGAAGTCAAAGATGAACACAAAATAACCAGATGGGCAATAATAAGGAAGGGGTACCCATACCGATTTTGAAGAATTTATATATTCAGCTAAGATTTGGTGTGGAGTCGAAAAATAACTTAGGATTAGAATTTTGGAGGGTTGAATTTCGAAATTTTTATAAGAGCTTTATTACATCAATAAATACAGCTCCACAAATTTCTTCCATTAATTTCCTTTTTCTGGAAATCATCGGCATTTTGTTTCAATTATCAAATAAATTTTTACGAAAATAATTGCGAAAGTGAATTCACGGGAAGCTGTTTGTAAACGTTTGTAAGTTTACGGATTTTACGCTGTTTACGTAGTTACCAAGGGTGCGTGAATACCCTCAAAGGAAATCCAACGTGCTTGCGTATGAACGACTAAAGCATTGTCAATTGTAGAGTTAGTACTTGCTCTGCAAAATACAGTAAAGGTGTTCACATTCCTCACACGTTACATTTTGCCTCATTATAAATTATGCCATCTTGTTCCACAATTTGTAATTTTTCGATGCATTTGTCACAAGACCAAAATAAAAAGAGTAAAACTATTTGTTGTACACAATGCAGATCAAATCGTTTTGCAGAAAATAACATTGACCTACAGAATCCACCAGCCAATTATTATTAAATGCGAGAAATGGGATTCGCTAAAGAATCCAGCCAGGCAGACAAGTGCATCCGCACATATGCTGAACTAGCGGAGAGATAAACGAGCGAGCCGTAATATCTACGTGACAGAAATACTTTTCGGTTCTATTTCTGGATTGGCTAAGAGTGTAAAAATATTCTAGAGGCACCACACTATTCAAGTCATCCACATCAACGATGAGAGAAAGAGAAATTCGGTTTTAAAGGGCAACTCTGGAATTACGTCAATTGCAAATAAACACAACTCATCAAATCTCTGTTG